ACAGCATGGCATTCCCACACTTAAATTTCTAGATTAATTCATTAAACCTAGTTTAAATCCCACGTTCATTAATAATTTGTTTCTAGAAAGAACTTAGGTTTTACTTTGTTATCTTGTCTTTTCCATTTATCGGCACTTGTTCAAGAATAGAAGCTAAAGTTAGTAAATTAAATAAATACATCCTTTCTCGCCAAGCGAAGTAACTGACAGACTAATAGAAATATTTTGTAACTTTAAAGTTTGTATATGAGGAAAAATATTAACTCTATTTATTATTATTATTTATCAGACATATTTTATTATACAAATTCATATTTATTTATTGTATTTTCAAATTATTTTATTTATCGCTCTCTTATTATTTATTTAGGTTATGCATTTAGTCTTTATTAAACAATTACATAGGCGGACTTAAAAACCATAGGGATTCTCTCCAGTCACCCTCTGGGTGATGTAAATAATTTAAAATAAAACTTATAACAAGAAACTTTGATCACAAAATGCAACTTAAATATATGTCTATCGGTAAATAAAATTACATATAGTAATATAGGTAATAAATAAATATATATACTAGTATAGAATATTCTTTTTTATACACTATTATAATAGAAAACACATGAAACAACAAAAACAGAAGATATTACCATTGACGGTCTTATCGCCATAAGCAGTTACGTTAAAAAAGTATTTACCACTTACATACACATAATATTATCGTCTAATCCTATTTACATAAAGGTGAAATTACATGTGTCTGTTATAAATCCAAAAACATGATTCTTTATCCTGTAAGCCGACTATAGTAATGTCTTTAATGAAGGAAATATCCAGTGGAGCAAGCTTCGGTACGTTTTTTGCGCATATGTTTGGTGAGCGCTGTAGCACTGTACGCGCGCTCCACGACATTTTTTCTCTATGAATATTCTTGCACAAGTTAAATTTAGTCTTTAAAAATAAAACAACATTTAAAAACATAATGGCATTATAGTTCTTATTTAACGTAATAAAAAGGTGTGTTATTGCTAGCAACTACGATAAGATATCAGAGATTTATGATCGTATCGCTACGTTTATATGTTTGGGATTTGTAGTATAACTAATTGATTTGTAACGATTGTAATCGTACGTAAATACGATTGTAAAACTAATATTTTTTAACTAAACTCAATACACAAATCTTTATATATAAAAATGGATCGCAAAATGTTTTGGTAAGCGCATAACTCAACAACGCCTGGACCAATTTTGCCAATTCTTTTTTTGGATGTGTTTGTTATTGTCGGGAGAAGGTTCTTATCAAAGAAAACATTAGAAAAGTAGAGGGGAAAATAGGACATAGTGACCCTTTGATAGCGAGATAGTTGGACCCGTACGAAGCGGGGGCGGGCCGCTAGTTTTAAATATTTTTATCCTATCTTATATATCTTCGGGTACGCTAAACTATTAAGAATATATGGTAGTGTCTTTTTCAGAGTCCTATTTGCAATTTATATATTTATGCCTTTATAGGTTTCAGTAATAGGTCCGATGACCTTGAACCTACAAAATGTAAGGCTTAAACTAAAATATTGGTGAAAACTGTGGTGTGGTGTGATATATTTGTGCCCTTAGCAGCAGGCAAGCGTGTTATGTTATTAATTGAAAATAATAACGTGTGTGAAATACTCATAAGGGAACGTATTCATGAAACAGAGCTCCGTCGCAAAATTGAAACTAGTAAAGCAATTCCCACTAGTATTATGTGATTAATGTGATAACTCTTTATTTTCAGAGTACCTAATCCATCTTACTACAGTTACTGTTCCAAAAAAAATTTATCAATTCTAGCATTTCTATTGCTATTTTTCTCAAAAATAGGAACGTCAAAAATGTATTTTAAATTTTCTTTTCGGACGAATTGTTTCATATTTGAATAAACTTTATGTATTTTAATTTTAGAATCGATACCAGACTTGTATTCAGAGATAAAAAAAAATCGTTAAAATTAATTCCACCATAAGAATAGCAACGATCGTCCTTGAATTTGATATCTATGATTTAAAATAATATAATTTTGCAGTTTGCACTATAAATACGCCTATCTTTATAAATATTTAAATAAATACGATTCTTATTAGCATTAATAGAAACGTCGTTAATCTAAAATTTATAACTTAAATAAAAATCTTTTAAAATTAATTTAAGACCATCACTACTAAAATGAAAAATGAACTACCTTTGGCGGTTTTTCAAACCTTCAAGAAAAGAATGCACTCTCAAAACGCTGACAACGAACTTATGCCTTCTTTGGTGTTCCGGCTGTCCATAGCGGCGTTGATTGCTTACAATTAGGTAATCGGTCTGTTCGTGTGCTTGCCATAACATCTCAGATAATTTCTTAATGATTAAGAAATTATTGATGTATGTATATGCCGCAACTAAATAGTCAAATTTGCCATCCAACCAATGGCCTGAATTGGTTCAGTCGTTTCATTGAATAGCTTAATTTCTTATTCAGGCTGTAAGATGATGGATTGTCAAGAAAGGCGAGTTGTTACCAAAGTGGTAGTTTAGGTTGTTTAAAAACTGTGAACATCACAGAAATCCAATTGCCATCGCTTATAAACATAATACGACATAATATACTATACATAACATCGGTTAGAACTTACGACGAATAGACAGCTGCGTAAACAACTAAAACAATACTGTATAACGTATATTCAAATCTGTTTGTTTGTATAATAATAGAATGCTTTGTAAAACGTTTCTATACATGAGAGTAATAATGTCCCTTTAATAAATATTATTTCGAAGTTATGTGTGATGTAACAATGCTTGATATAATAACTACAACAATTGAAGGAATTGATGTACGGTCAGCTGCAGAGAAATGGACCCCCCCTGAAGTACAAATATGTATGCAGCTATCTGCATAGGGGGATCCTCTTCTCTGCAGCTGACTGTACAAAATGATAGAGAAATATCCAATTTCGTGTAGTACTTTTTAAGTACAGTACGGTCGACGTATCTTGGCGAGTCTGAAGTTAGCCGTTTGTCTGCGCAATGGATCTTTAAGGAACAAAATTGTTTACTGCGCAGCTAATCGGCTAACTTCAGACTCGCGAAGTTGGCGGTATTGTAGACGGTTCTCCTATTCCGTTCTCGTTATCTCGTTCCGTCGATGGCTACCCGTAGAGCGTTTCCAGCATTTAGTGGGTAAGGGATTTGAAAATTGGGGATTAGGGATCGGGGAAGAGGAAGATTGGGCCTCGCGCAACCTCACTCACACGCCGAAACACCAACGTTGTGATTGTTTTACATCGCTTTTCTGTGAAACAGTGGTATTACTAAGGTAGATCCGGTCCATTCATGCCGAAGCATGGCTCTGCTACACCTTATAAGCTACAGTTTATTTGGCTAACGCTAATGTATACTCATTGCTATGAAGCCTACTGTACCTATTTTAGGCTTTGGTTGGATTCATAAGAACTTGCCCAATGAAAAGTAGGTGTATACATGGTGAATTTTCTTTTAACTATTCTCATAAAGACAGATAACAGTGAATAATCACTCACATGAGCAATTGAAATTAGACGTAAAATTTTTATGATACAGCTTTAGAGAATGGATAATGACCCTCTTGAGTTAAGCGCCATCTGTTGAACAGAAAAGTGTATAATAACAGACTCTTCGACTTGGAGTAAAATTCACTTATAAAAAGAATAAGAAACCCCAGTTAAGACAGTATAATGAAAAAGTATTCTTATCGTGGCACCGAGTTTTGGTATGCACCACTATATGTACTTCATTCCAATGTTATTGTTTGTAGCGATGTTTTATAAACATGTCTCCGTTACAACAGTGATTGTTATGTTCCACTGTCAATATATGTTTCTCATTATATCTTCCTACCGTTTGTATCGAGAGATTTCGGATTTTAAATTACTCAAACTTAACATAAACAATTGTAACTTGTCAATAGTGGTCATTCGAGACACAATGGAAGAATAATAGGTGCGTGAACGCCGGCGTTAGCTTACTGGAAACGTTCTTATAACTCACCCGGGGTTGCGAGTGTCCATGGAAGGCGCTGATTGCTTATCACCAGATTTTTATTTGCTGTCCTTTTTCATAAAATAAATAAAATTGTTATTATATGTTAAACTTATACATTATTGTATTGATTCTTTGTTTTTGTCTTTATTCTTTAAAAGTTTTGCTGCTTGCGCTCACCGATTTTACTCATCTCTTCATCACCCAAAGGTCAGACTGGTAGATAATGCCTACGGCATTAAGTCCGCCTATGTACAGAAGTTTGTGTACATTAAGCTTAATAAATAAATAAAAAATAAAATATATATCCTCAATCTTTAACTGTGGGAGAGCCATGCTTTGACTTGAATGGGTCGGGTCGACCAGAGAGATACCACGGCCTCACAGAAAACCGGCGAGAAACCACGGCCTCACAGAAAACCGGCGAGAAACAACCACAGCGTTGTTTTTGATGTGAGAGTGAGGTAACCGGGGCCCAATCTTTCCCCGACCCAAATCCCTAAATCTTCAAACCATTTTTTGTGAGTGGAAATCATCCAATGACTTCTTCCGCCCAGGGCCGGGCAGGAGGGAGTGTCAGACTGACTAACTAACTGACTTACCTACCTACCTAACTGACCCCCGTTCCATCTCATGCTCTGGGCTGAGGTCGCAGTGCCTCATTGCGCTTACCCTGCAATCCTGGCTGAACATCAGCCCTATAGGGCGTCATCTGTGGTGGTCTATTGGCTCTTTGAGGCGCGCGCGGAACGCTACGCGCCGTACGCTCGGGTCTGGTTCAGGTCGGGCGACGAGCAACCCTTACTCGCCGTCCGCAGACCCGCGCTTACGGTGGCCGGAGATCATCTCTCGAAATTTTCAAACCGTAACACTCATTACATATTTGGGCGACGCTGATTGCTTACATCAGGCGATACACCTACTAATTTTCCGTCTTATCACTAAAAAATCTCCTTTTTCAGTTACGCGGTGGTATCAGAGTACTACGGTCGTGGTTTATTCAACAAGGTGACGGTGGTTACTGAGAATGAGACGGTGGAGCCGCCCGCCCCCGCCGCTCCCGCTCAGCCGGCCGCGCCGGCCCCCGCACCTACCCCTGCACCGCAGCCGTACGGGCCCGGCGCTGAGGCTAAGCTGAGGCTACAAGAAGGACAGAGCAAACAAAGTAAGTTGACCTTGAATCCAGTTCTGTAACTTGTACAGCCTTGAGAAAAAAAATTACTGAAGAAATGCACACATCAACATGGTATACTTAGGCATATTTCATTAAACACATTGCTTTACATTTTTTTTACATTAAACTTAATATAAAAAACTTAAATAAAATTCTATTTAAACTTTGTTAAGACATCTACACATTAAAATCCTTATTCCTAGACACACATGGTCTAGGAATAAGGATCTGTATATTATGCTGGTCTATCTGCCAATTTAATAAAAAATAATTACTGTCAAAAATCCTACATTTAAAAAAAAAAGTCGAGTTTAAGGTTGGTCGTCATTGAAATTGACTTAATGTTACACTGTATTAACTCAAATTCGCCTTACTTATACAAAACATTCTTGTACATTCTCGAGTAAACAAATATTATTAAAAATTGTGTTCATCACTTAGCCCACAATGACAATCCACAAATTTTAATGTTATACAAAATGTTACAATACTAACCTAATTTATTTATTGTATAATTACAATTAACAATTAACCTAATTTATTCGAGATGTGATGTGATAACGCATGGAATTACATTTGTGACTAGTTTTTTTTTTTATATTCAACATTAATTAATGCTTATCAATCTAACGAATTTGCTATCGACACCATTTTTTTATAATATTTAATAATGTCACTAACAAAACTGGTATAATAATAATAATAGTAAGTTGGCTTGGTCTCATTTCATTTAGATTAAAGTTGTCTAAAGGGTTTCTGCGCAGTTGTATACAGCCCCTCGTACGCCTCCCAAGTTACAGGCACCGTGTAGTCCCGAATTAGTGAAGACATAAAAATAATAATGAATCAATTAATGATAAAAGTAAAATATGTATTCATCATTATCATTATAAGACTTCCGTGCCTATAGGACCTCTTCTCTTGGAATGGTGATTGCCAATTTATAAATTATAATTCCATGTTTCCTCACAATGTTTTCCTTCATCATTTGTCTGTGCCGTCTAAATACACTTAAAAAGTACATAATATAACTTCGAATACACACATTTGCCTATGCCAGGTCGGAGATTTTTCACCCAATCACCCAATATACAGAAATCAAAATATCGCCTCTTTACGATGTAAAAGGATATCACGACGTTAATTTTAACATCGTTTTTTCTATATTCCAGTATTCGTATCAAACGCAACGAAGCAAGTGGCGCCAAAAGGCACAGCAGTAGTACCAATGCCGGAAGGCAGAATGAGAGTCATAGAACAACACCGCTACAGTTCCAGCTTAGAAGCAAATATGAGTAAACTAGAACCAGTACACAAACCGTCCCCTTATTCCTCTCCAATCACAGCTAAGAAGAGAATAGAAGAGAACCAGAGAAGTTTAGGAGTCTCTCCTGTAGTCCAGAATAATATATCTTCTGCCATAAGTAATGGAGCAGGTAAAAATCCGTTTGAAGAGGACACTTATGATGAAACGAAAAATCCTTTCGCAGAAGAAGCGACGGAACCCACGAACCCTTTCAGTGAAGACGATGATTATGACAGTAACTACAATCCCTTCTCATGAAGCTTGGAATGACGTCACACGGGCGTTAAAAGCTAAGACGAGGTTAGTTACCCAAAACTATATCTTATATCTCATAAATTTATGGTCGAGTTTTGAGTGGTACTGTTAAATGTTCTTCATGAATTGGTATTTGAACTTTAATACATAGTATTAAGGTCCGAAATTTTGTTAACACTCGTCTCGTGTTTCTGGACAATCGTGTGGATTCATTCTAAGACACGTCTGTGAAAGGACGCAAGGTTATGCTATAAACGTCTTTATCATGTAACAATAAAGTCGTTTTTATAAAAGTGCTCCTCTGTACGTCGAAGGAATCAAAGCGAATGCAGTAGATTTCTGATTTATTACTGGCCTTATATCTAGAATATGTAATAGCAATAATCCAATGACATTCTAAATTTATTACGATATTCGTCTTAATACCTATATTCCTTTTTTTGCCCCTTATATGCCATGACCAATATTATAGGTCCAACAGATTTAAGTTACAAAAATATTATAATTAAATACCAACTTTAATAAAATAAGAAGCTCATCAGTGCTTCAGAATACACTCTGTTTAAACTGTGGTTTTTTATGTGATAGCTAGGCTAACAAGCAGACGGATTACCTGATGGTAAGCAATGACGTCGCTCATGGACAAACTCGTAATACCAAAGAAGTTACTACAAGTGCGTTGGTACTTAGGTATTATAGGATTGAGGATGGGATCCTTCCCGGATTGGGCCCACAGTAACCTCACTCACACTGCACAATGCAATGTAAGTGTTGCTTCACGCTAGTTTTCTACGAGGCCGTGGTATCACTCCGTTCGAGGCGGCCCATTTGTGCCGAAGCATGGCTGTCCCTCACTCTTTTCCTACCCATGTACTATTATGGCTTCATTAAATAGAGGATATTCTTTAGTCAAGCATTCGGCAGTGGTCTGTCGCCAGCTATCAATGATAACAATATTGTAAGTATGTAATATATGTTTTTGTATACGGCTTAATCCACGGCATAGGGCGAACAGCTTAAGCTAAGCTATTGAAGCTTTCGAAATTGTACCTAAATAGGATGTTTTGTTCACCGAGTTTTGTATTATCTATATAATTCCGAGTCAAATATTTGTAATCACATCTCAAAAGTGTCAAAAGTCATACAAAAATCAATAATATCGTGTTGACAGGTTAGTAGAAACATATTTCATTTATTGAAAATAATTACTTTTCCCCGTGAATTAACTGAGAAAAGCTCTACTACTGATAGTAAGCACACGCTGCATTAACATTAATAAAGGTAAATCCTCCGCTACCGTCGGTAGCCGATGACTTACGTGGCGTTAAACGTGGTAATAAGAGTCCCGATGTGACTCGAAACTAGTAGAACTATTCTCAGATAATTGTTTTATGTTATAATTGTATTAAGTTGCATTATCTCCTAAATAAGAAATGCAAAAAGACTGCATCTGTATAAATTGTCATCTTATAGTATGTTAAAGTATGCTAGGCCTGTGGACGACATTGTTAAGCGATCAAGTTCTAAGTATTTAATTCATTTAATTTTTTAAATCGATTTGCAACCTTATTTTTGCTTAATAAACTTGAAAATCTATTTACAAATTTTCTGACTTAGAGATCAATTTGCGACGGTATTCTTAACCTTACAAATGAATCCTTTTTTTGTCAAATGCGGTCATTGGTATTAATTTTATTATTTTTATACATATAAATATAAGTTAGTCAAAGAACAATAGCTTTTTGATTAATTTTCATATAATTTAAATATACGACTATAATATTCCTATATAAAATAATATATGTAAAGTTTTTTATAGGTCTGATGTTTAGTTTGTAAGAGAAGATATAATAAATTATGCGATTTTTAACCGACTTCAAAAAAGGAGGAGGTTCTCGACGCGTGTGTTTTCCTATGTATATTGCCATTGTTTTGTTATTTCAGTTATGCGAATTGGTATAGCTGTCTTAGGAACTAGTCATGTTGCATGCAATATTATATTATTGGAGATCGGAGTATGACATAATATTATGTCCCGTTTCAAGCAGTAGATACTTTCCGGGGTTAAGAGACAAGCGCTGTGAGGTACAGCGGTCCAGACCTGGAGCAGCAGAAGGAACGGGGAGGTTTTAAGCCTGTAAGAGTCAGACACTCTCTCGCCATACCCTGGGTGTTCATTATCAATCATTTGATAATTTTCCCTCCTTAAATAAAAAGAAGTTAATATTGATTCAATGGTCGAGTGGGCCTCAATCAACAATTCGATATGCAGGTTAATCCGTTCAGATTTTTAATTACTGTATTGTCCGTGATATTTATAGGCTGGTTTTTCAATGGTTTGATACAAGTTACCTGGGAGTAATTATGATTCTGCCGCTTCAGGCAGTGACAGCAACAATTTTGTTCCTCAGATAACATTTATCTAACTATTGAAAAATCTGCCCTAAGTCTAATTGTTATCTGTGCACTAAATGGAACTGACAATCGTTTCTCCTAAGAAATAACATTTATATAGAAGTTATATCTTTGTTTGATTAATATTCTACTTCTTTTTTTTTAAACATTATTTTTAAAATTCTCCGATCTTCTTTTCGTCTCAAAATGAACTTGTTTAAAACATTCCTCATTTAGAACCAACTCAATGTATAATATATAAATAAATATCACACATATTATAGAAGCTATGTCTTGTATCGTTTTGTAAGCTGTATCCAACCTGTATCATATGTGATAATAAATATTTAATATAAGTTATAAAGTTTGTCTTTATTTTGTTTTATTGACATACTTCCGTCGTGCCCAGTTACAAGATCTTTATCATAAAAAACTCTAACTCGTAACGCCAGAGTTACGAGTCCGTTGCCGGCCTTTTGGAGATTAGGGATTCGGGGAGGGGTTGAAAGATTGGGCCTCCGGTAACTCACGCACACGGCACAACACATCGTTGTAGTCGGTACACGCAGGTTGCTGTGAGGTCGTGGTATCACTCCGGTCCAGCCGAAGCATGGCTCTCCTACCAAAAATAATTTATATTACTTTTACGCTAGAGAAAATAAGCTAAGCATCGAATTCTTAAAAGGGCTAAGAATATCTGGTACTCGAAACCTCTTTCTTGGCACTCTAACAGCGACCACTAGAAAGGCCGTGATACTTACCTATAAAAAACATCCATCCCTATAGGTATTTCTGAACATTATTATTATGTTCAATTATCTTGGAGTTGACCAAATTCTCCTATAACCAGCGTTCCAATAAAAAAAATATTTAGCGGACATAAGTACTCCATTGCGCTGTCAATGTCAACTTTTGTGTACCTACGTCACAATTCTTATACGGCTAGCAACGTATTTGTATTGCCTTAACACCCGGTTTCTGAAAGGCTTGTCAACGCTAAAATTAACTAACCTTCTGTTAAATCTCTTGTCAAGTCATCTGATTGGTTGACTGAATTATCTACAACCAGGAGATTAAATTGATTTTAAAATTGATCGGCCTTTCGGAAACCGGGGGTTAGTCTTGCAGGTGTATTAAGTTTGGTGATAGCTTAATAACAACTAGATATTCTAAATATTCCTAATGCATAATAAGCCGCGTTCGCAACACTGGTCGTTTTTGAAATGGATCGAATGCCTGAAGAACAACGTTCAGTAACTTACGTTAATATACTAAACTTATTAGAAAAGTGCGACAGCAGACTTCGATGTCATAAGTTTGCCAAGTTACGAAGAAACAGATCAACAATTAGGTACAAGTAAATTGATTTAGCTGTTTTAAGTGCTCCTTGATTATTAGGTATGTCCCGCAATACGGCGAGGATCACTCACAACAATTATCGCACTCGCATGCCAAGCAGTTGTAATTTGGAAGCCACGCTAAAGACTGCTCTTCCCGACAGCGGATGACGTCACGAACGAGAACACTTTTACGGATTTCGATCAGTAGCAATTAAAGACGTTTGTTTTTTCTAGTGAAATGTAACTAAATGAATATAATATCTTTGTGCCACACAATATTTTTATAATGTAGTTTTAAATAGATAGTAGAGAGACGAAACACGAAAAATTTAATTCATTATATTTTGTATTTAAAAATGTCGTTTTCCAATCGGCTATAGATGTCGATGGCGTGTTTGGTACGATTTTGTTTGTCGGCTATCATCCGTGGCGGACAAAAGGTTAACATGTACTTAGTCCACAAGTTTTGTTGCTACTGATAGTAACCAATCAATTCCGGTAGTAGACGGACAGAAAAAAAAAGTTTAAAAATGCACATTAAAACCTACATAAATCCAGCCATCTCTGAATGTAGCAATGTAATACTGAGCTACTGTTTCTGAACTGAGGCTTTATTTTCTTAAATTAATTGGCTACCTGCAATACCATATTAATGAATAAGGTGGTAAGGAAAAATAAGGCAAAGAAAACAACGATTTGGAAATTTTCAAAGCATTTTATTTATGACCTTTAACACTGTGTATAATATATTTTGATAGTACATTTAGAGCAATGAGTAATATTACCAATCATTACATTGTTCTTATTTTCATAAATTGAATGAAATTCATAAATTATATATAGAATATATAATTTGTTCTCAATATCATTCTCGCCCAACAATCAACAATCACTATCGTAATCACAAGGGCGGCGCGTGCGCACCGGTAGTGACGTCACGGCGACGCGCGCGCCGCCGCGGCACAACGACGCATACCAAATAAATTAGTTGATAAACAAACAAACGTAATCAAAACAACAGCTAGTCCTATAAAAATAGCAGTATAGCTTAAACAGTATACTCTATAAAAAAATATAATCCAGCGACCGCTGTACATATCTCTAATTTAAAAATGTCTTGTTTCCATACAATTACGATAACAACTAAAACGCGAAATAGCAAAGGAAACGTCAAAGTAATAAAAAAGCTTTAAAACAAAGTGTTCCAGCCGCCTCGACACACCCGTCGTGCATTCCTGCTCGCTATCCGCATTACGCTACAACACCATTTTGCTATGCAAAATACATTACCCTATTATTTCGAAACAATGGAAACGAGAAATATACAAACTTTGGAATGTAAATAAAAAATAAAATGACTAGAAAAGAAAGGTATTAACGATCATACAAGTTGAGATCTCGTTCATCCGTTCAGTAGACACACCTATTGAACAATTAGTTATACACAAACATTAATTCCGGTGAAGAAGTTATAAACTTGGACATAGTATTCTGTAAAGACCCTTACGTAATAAATAGCGTCTCGTTTTAAATAAAGCACATCGCCAAATCGAACCAGTACGCGGAGGAAAAATAATTTTGTAACATTTGACGGTGTGCTGTACATAATGAAACGAAATCGTTTAATTAATAATCTCGACGACAATATTGTTATAATTTCAAGAAACATTACCTAACACACAGCATGTCTAAATTTTGGATAATACTTTTTTTTGTTCTTATAGCTACGTTTATTATACGCTAAATTATTATCTGGATACTCTCTAGGGTAGCCGAATATGTCTACAGTCGTGTGTAAGCTGCTGTGACTGGACTTTAACAGGAGAAAGCTATTTTTTTTTTTAATTTTCTGTAACCCATGTAAGTACCAAACGAAGTAAAATATTTACAAAGACTAACGAGTCTTAAGCTTACACGTTTATAATATAACTATGTATGCTCGATTTCGAATGAAAAATAGTCACCTAGAAGCGATAGTATAGTGACAATGATTATTTTTTTATTTCACATTTATCAAAGCGGTAACAAGAGTAAACAATGCTCGGACTTACGACGGTGTTGAGACAAACACAACGGCTATAAAGGATCATCCATATAAAACTACAGTCACATTCATTATCTACCTAGGACACCAATGTTGTATCTGTACTGTACTTGGAGTATGGGGGGGGGGGGAGGTACTGGGGGGACAACGGAACACAACACACTAATTTGTGATTGTTCGCAGCACAGCATCGAGCTACTCTATCACATACATGTACCTACACGGTTGACTAGAACGTACGGAGTGCTCCGAACGGAATCGTCTGTAATCGAGAAATAATCGAGACGTTTCACCTGATTAACATCACATTAACCTACTTTATACATCCCATATAAAGAATTCTGAAAGAAAACATCGTTACACAAAACAATATCAAGTCAAACGATATTACCGACTACATTCTGTAGCGTTATTGATGTAATGCATAGTCTACATTAACTACAAATATTCAATGTATTTACAATCGATACTAGAATGTGAAACGTTTACGTATGCCGTCACACGAGTCCGGACTGCCTCCACCGGCTTTTTGAGCCACAAAATATAATTTATCCTACCGTTCGGGTCATACGTATATACAAGGTAAATTACATTTAATAATGTATCCAACATTAGAAGAAAATTTATATACTTCAGTAATTTGTCTTTTCACAAGTACAATGGTAATATTTTCTTTTTAAATTCTTAGTTATATAGTCATGTTACATAATGGAGTCTATCACACATCGCCGACATTTTGTGCGCAACATATTATTGTTTTTATTGCACAGGAGTTATACGTAGATATTTGCTACGAGCTGGCCGATGGACCACGACGGTTCGGTACATAAATGCTGGTATGTTCATATTGTTGTTATTGTTGACTATATATATATTTGTCGTGGTCCAAAGTCGCCATGTTACACAGAAACTAGATAGTAGGCCTTGTAGACATTGAAACGGCTCACACCTTACCTTACACAATATGTACCTATGTATGTCGCAGATAACTCGTTAGAATAGGCGTTCAATCAATCAGCTAGTCCTTTAGTCATTTGACTAGATGTTTATTTGCGGTTCACAGTTCTAACCTAACCTACCATTCTGGTAGCAATTCGGTTTTTATGACAATCTCTTCACCTTTCAACTAACAGGCTGAATGAGACAGTTAGCCATTAAATCAAATGGCTCATTCAGGCCGTTAGTTGGATGGCTATTTTAACAATTTGGCTGCGACATATATACCAGTAAATACTTAGTTAACGTTCCTGTTTAATCAGTGCACCGGTTTGGTCCCCTCTCACTCGACCCACGTACTAAACTTCTAAACTAATTCATCAATATCGGCTACACCTTTGGCACTTGAATATTTTTGGTTAAAATAACAAAATATCTTCAAGATTATAATATTACTTTGTAATATAAATACGAATTAAGCTACATCAAATACATTATTGTATAATTTATTAAGACACTTTTTTGTTTTAATCAAAAATATATAAGACCAATTTTTCTGTGCCAAAAGACTAGTTCTCATACCCATTTTGCGAATTTAAATTAAATATATAATACATATAAACATATATATATTTCTTTACGTATTATATCGTATATCGCATCAAATGCAGCTGCTTTTATAATACTGATGATATAATAATTACAATAAAACTTAGATATGCTAAAATAATTGATTCATTTGCATTGTCCTTGGACATCCATGCATATTATAGTGTGGTCCCGAAATTGACGAAACAAAACAAATAATATATGTATATAGAAATAGTTAATTACGTATAAAAAGTGTGTAAAATCTTACAAAAATAGTGATGACCATTTTGTAATAACTTATAATCGATGGTTTATCGAGTTGGGCACATCACTATACAGCCTTGGTATCGATTTTGGCAACTTTAAATACGGAAGAAACTATCTCGTTATATATTTATGGACCACAGTAAATAAAAGCTCTTTCTGAGCGTTCAGTGACTATAGAATCTCTATGCCCCACCAAACCAGTCACGGATAACTTTAAAGTTAGAATTATTCCTCTTTTTATGGAATTAAACTTTACAAACATACATTCTAATGGATAATCAAGATAAGTTTATGTTGACATGGATTGCTATCCCTGTCGCACAGTTGTATTTTACAAGTGAGTAACAGAGACGGAAATATAGCTTGTCGAGAACATATATTTATCTTGACCGCATACAAACCTTATCTTCTTACATACCGTATATTTCTGTGTAAATAATATATTGTTCACAATTCTGAACAAATTGCGTTGATGTAAATATTATTGTTAAAATCAGTCTAAAAGTACATATTTGGTACTTTTTTGAATCTGCACTAGTTACTGGACTAGCGTAGTCAGACTGACTTAACATTTTAATATACGATATGCAAAAAGACGCTAAATTCTGAACCAATGTAATTTAAATTGTGTTTTAAGATACAAATTGTATTATTAAAAACACTTATATTTAAATTACATCGATTCAGAAGTTCTAACCACCATAAAAGTCGATGATTCATACAAAAATGTAATGATAATACTTATTTGTGTAAGTTTAATTCCAGTCGTAAGGGTATCGAGCCGTTTCAATGGGCGTGCAAGGCGCGATGAGCGAGCGCGGCATGGGGGACGCACTTAAACAACGAGGATAGACTCCATGGTGAGGTCTCAGGGGGCGCCACCTGCCGCCGCCTTGTCCCCGCGCCGCGCCGACCGGGACCTGCCGGCACACAACTTCAAGCGTGTATATTGACGAAGCCAACCTCGCCAGCTCGCCAGACAAATGGTGTAAGGGCTACGAGAATTGAATAAAATATTCGAGTATGTTGAGATGACATAGAGTTTGCCACATAGTCCCTTGTATCCGTGATCTTTATAGGACTTATCGTTTTAAATTAGCTTCTTCTCCTTCTTCGTGAGCAACCCATATACATACGATACATACCGAAGTCACATTTGTTCCACAACATAAGTTCATTAAAGTTGTTTAAGGCAGAGTGAATATCGATTATGGAATGACTTTCTCACCCTGGCAGGAGTGTCAGACTCCTATTGACTAAAAACCAATTTATTATTTTAAGTAATTTTAATGTTCACGTTTTAATGTTTAATGATATCAGTATGGAAACACGTATCAATTGACGTATAGTTATGTCAATCTCAAACATTAACGTGACTATTGAATTCAATTCGTGTAGTATTTGTACATTTGTCTAGAGAGTCAGCTTCACATACAACTAAGGGAGTTCTCTACTGGCTTTATTAGTTTGTAAATATGATCTGGCTGTTGGGGACCTATGCCATAAAGTTGACAGTAAAGGTTTTACCTTTGGCTGTAGGGGTTGGTGCTTTTGCCTCAGTGGCAGAATGGCTTGGAGTCTTAGGCCAAAAATGGAGAGATAAGCAAAATGTGATTATTTAGTAATGATAAGGCAATATAATTAAATACATACTTGTTTGTTTCATGCATAGATTCACTACGTTGTGTGTGGAGTGAGTGGTAAAGTGTAAACAGATGGACTCACCTGATCTGGCCAGCTAGCAGGGGGTTAATGGCGTACAGCCAATCGTGGACTTCCTTGTCGCCGAGGGTCTGTAGCAAGTAGCCGCGCTCCTTGCTGACCACGCTGCAATAATATCGTAAGTTTGTTTAGGAGAATAGTTAAAAATATACACATTTGTGATATTATAAAGTTTGACAACCACAATGGTATTTTGAAGAAAACTTGTGATAATTAAATTATTCAGACTGTGTTATTAGCTCGTAGAGACAATGGTAGACAATGCCCACCCCAGAAAACTATTTGCCCTCCTTCCTATACCATCATAACACGTGTACAAACACTAACTAATCAACCTATCCCCAAAAAGTTATTCTTCGCTTCAATAGATTTTAGATCTTAGTCATTTGTAAATAAAGTTGTCATTAGGTAATAGACAGTAAGTATTGTAGTACATACCTGAATGTGTTAGGCATGCGCACCATCTGCTCCTGGTCCTCGGAGTACTCGACGTGCGCGTTGGCGAGGTTAATGACCGCGCGTTCGATGGGGTCGCGCTCGTCGCGGTATATGAACACGTACGGCCGTCTCACCACCTATTTAAAAAAGTTTTTTTATAATATTTGTGAACTACGACTTTGCTTTTCAGTTATTAATCTATTAAATCACTACATAGTATTAAACAAAGTCGCTTTCTCTGTCACTATATTGCTATGTATGTTTCAATCTTTAGAACTACGCAACGGATTTTGATGCGGTTATTTTATAGATATAATGTTTAAGAGGAACGTTTATTTGCTAAATGACATCAATTAAATAGTAGAGAAATTTAGTATCGGACTTGCCACCTTGCGACACCGGGGCGGATCTCTTTTGTTTCATAATTAAGACGGTTGGCTTTTTAATTAAGACAGTTGCTTGATTTCTGTTATGCCATTAGAAACCTCCTTATGACTGAGTTAACATATTTAGATAGGTACAACATGTCACTTAATTGTTTTACGCCATTAGAATTACCAAATGAGTGAAATTAACAAATTTAGATACAACATGGTTACAGGTTAGAGAAAAAAAAATATAAGCAATCACAATAATTCTCACTAGAATACATTCACAAATTATGCATTATCTTACTATAACTAATATTTATAGGTAAGTCACAAAGTATACATACGAGCCAGCGCTTCTTCCATCCATGCGTGCCATGCTGCAAGACGTTGAGATGTCCGCGACGCGCCACGGCGGCGGACACGCGGACCTCCTCGCAGTCCGGCACGTACAGCGCGCCCGGCGCCGCCAGCCCGCCCAGCGCCCCCAGCGCCCCCAGCTGGCCCCCGGGCCCGGCGCCTCCCGCCCACCCAGCCATCGACTTCTCCAATAACCCACGCTCAGGTGAGCATAGTCTGCTGACGCGATAATTCTTGGTTACTACTCTTGGTTTAATAGAAAAACTCTCTAAAATATTTTTAAATCTGATACAATGTTAACGTGCTAGCTTAACTTGGGAACAGCCGCAGCCTGGACCAAAACAGGAAAAGGGAAGGGGGAGTTTTTAGTAAGCCTGACACTCCCTCTCGCCTCATCTTGGGCGAAAGAACTAATTTGATATCGATTTACCCTAAACTTTACTTGACAAGACAATTTTGCCAACAATAATGGCGTTTTCAAACATTGCGCAGGGCAACGAAAACTCTCACTAAACGAAACATAGGAACATAATTAACATGATTTCTTCACGCTCTGGTATTCCGTGAGAGAGTGATAGTCGGTCAACTGAGCCGGTACATTCAATATACATGTACATTTTTTTTTCTATTGGGCTTATTTTGGGCCACTGTGGTGGGGTGTAGTATTTACTAAAGTTATTGTATTATATTGGGTACTCACTCAAAGCTGCTAGCACTGTGTATGGAGGAAAGCAGACTGGGCGTGGAGATGTCTGCGGAGACTCCCTCGTCGACCGGCGTCGCGGGGGACGCCGCAGCCTCTACCTCCTTGCCTGACGACCCTATCCTGCCTGTAACAACAAACATAAATTTTAGTTGAACAAACAATTAATCATCATCACTTCCACTGCAGAAAATAAACCACAAAGTAAACAAAGGTGCATTTTTTTCGCCACTCATGTAACTGCTTACTACCAGACTGTGTATACTATGTGTATACTAAGTGGTCTATCAGTATAGTTTAGGTTAGGTAATCAACTAAATATAAACAATCTTGTCATGTCTTTTAATCTAAAAGTTGTTTAATAATTGTATGTAGAAATGCTAGCTTATAAACTTAATTTAAATAATCTTTCTAAGTATTTTATATACGATATCTTTAATATAAAAAGACATACCAAGATTATTCACCTTTAGTTAGGTACCTTAGCTGATAGATCATAATAATTTTAAAAACCAAACCACATGAACATTTCACCTACGATGTACAATTAAATAATAAAAAAATATTTTGTGTCATGTTGTCTACAGAAGAGAGGATGAATTAAAGACCTTGGGAGTGGAGAAGAAAGAGATTAGGAAAAATACGAGTGAGCAAAAAGTATATGTACCTTGTATGAGTTTGATGTACTTAGTGGCGAGTTCCTTCTCCCGCGGGGACATGTCCCAGGGCTCGTAAACGGACTCGTCGCGGGCGCATTCCGCCGCAGCCTTGGCCGCCATATTGTTCACCTCCTGGGACAAAACATAGGTACATTGTAAAATGATTCATTAGCATACGACATAACATTATGGAGGATGAGAGCGACGATTACGAAATTCGGTTGTTTTTAACTAGTTTCAAATTCAATACTTTTATTTTATTGAAATGTCAATAACGAAACTTTTTTATGAATTTTGTATGAGATCGCAACATATGACGTCATAATGTTTTTAGGTTAAACAGCATACATATTTTTTAAAGTTTACTAGAAAAAAATCTAAATGTAAGTACCTATAGGTATCGTCAAATCAATGAATGAAAGTATGATTAAATTATAATAATTAATTGCATTTAAAAGTCAAAATAATTGACCGTTGACCAAGGAAACTACCTAATTGTGGAAGCCTATTTGACAAGTTTCATGTACAAAGAGCCCATAGCCGCATACACGAATTTCGAAATAATTTGTAATACATATTTACTGTACTATACCTCCAAGTGTACAATTAGCTTCATTAGATTGTCGACTTAATTGCAAAAATAATAGAATTGATATTTCATTATTCCATTTCTTTTTCTTACCTTCTCCGTCTTAGTGAAGTCGTTGGGCGCGACAGTGTTCTCGTGTCCATGCCGCAGCCTCTCCCGCAGCGCCAGCAGGTGGCGCGTGCGTCCTACTTGCTCCAGTCGGGTCATTTTCTCCAACTCCCACTGCGGGGGGAAATGATATTGTAAAATCAACCTTGTTACGAGAAGACTAAGGTTTTAAATTCATTTCACTTTCTTTTTGTAAAGTAATCTATCCAATATTTTCAGTAATATTATGTGCTGTTGGATTAAAATACTAGTATTGTAATCTAGTTAAGATTTATTGACGAGGTCACGTGTGTGCAGTACGCGTTCGCTTGGAGTTTGACGAATACATAATAATCAAGAAAGACGACAGTAACAAACCGTACATCTTTTTGGTCCTTCGAGCCGGATTTGAACCAGACGCCTATGGATTTACATTGCACTGTTTTTATGCATAAGTATGAAGTATGAAGGCCAAATTGTATAAATTTGTTTGTAAACATAGTATGTACCTGGTGGTCGAATATGAGTGAGTCCCCGCGCGGCCTCCATCCGTGCAGGTTCTCCTCCCCGCGGACGTACGTCCCGCTCGTGTCCAGCACTCGGCGCTGGCGGCGCTGAACGCCTGGGGCATACACATATTGTTAGCTAGCTCTATATACAAGTTTTTATTTTAATTAGTAAAATTTCAGAACAGGAGAGAGTTGAATTATTATTATTTTTATTATCACTATCAAAGTCAAAATTATTTACTCCAACTAAACCAAAAGTAGTGAAAAGATAATAAATACAAAAAAGCAAAATAAGCAAATATTTTCTTAACACGTTAATTGCCACGTAGGTCACCGGTGACCTACGGTAGCGGAGGATTTGCCTTCAATGTTTTTCGGTCGGCAGTCAAAGGCTTAACCCATTTCACTGAGAATTTAGAATAACTTAACATAATACATTTCAGCGCCATCTAGTAGTGAAAAACGACAAACCTGGTTCAAGTGCTCGATGTAGACTAAGTTCGTAGACTCCAGTGATGTGGTCAGCCCGCGCGGCCCGGGAACCGAACAGCGCACGTCGCAGGGAACGACCCGTTCGAGCCTCGCGACCTACCACCACGAGGGACAAGTCCTTCGTGATTATGGCAGGTCTGCTGCAGTTATCCACCTGGTCAAACGAATGGAGTTTTAAATAAAGATTTTCTGTTGCGCAATTTTTGGTACAATTTCAAGTCTTTATTCAAGAAACAGTAGTTTACCAACACTTAAAAAGATTTTGCGTTCTTCAATTATATATGCGCAAAAGTATGGGGTTGATAAATTGCGCAATTTTTTTCTGTACATGAACACATTACTAATTGATTTTGTAATTAATAAACATACAATATGTTCATGTCCGTATTAATTGTGATTTTTATTTTTTATTTATTCTCTTCCTACCGTTGCTCAAACTTACGCACTAATGGGCTACAAAAAATATGTAAAGACTGAATGCTTACAACGTTCCCTACCAATAGACCTTTATACTAATTGTAAATACATATAAAAATATTATTATAAATAAATATTTGAAACTTGAATGAGAGCTTTTTTCAAATGGCTTCTTATTTAATGGTAATTTCTATCGACGTGTACACTGACCTCCAAGTACGCACTGAGCGTGATGTAGACGACCTCTCCGTTAGCGCTGACCCTGTTCAGTAGGGGGGACCCGTGCAGGCTACTGTCCCAAGCCGCTTCAAACCTGTTACCATTACAAAATTATACTATAAGTCATGAAAAAAATATAAAAAATATGAAAATATAACAAGAACAAAATTAAACTTTGAATCAAATATTTAGAATTAGTTTTTAAGATATAAAACGTTTGCTCATTAAAGTCGTCAATTGACATTGTCTATATAACAATTCAATACATCATTTAATAGTATAAAAAAAAGTCGCTTTCTTTGTCCCTATACCCTTTGTATGCTTAAAACTTTAAAATTGCGCAACTAATTATATTGGAGTGATAAAAAGGAAGGTTTATATGTATAATAAGATCCATTAAATTTGGTGCGGGTCGCTAGTATCCTATAAAAGTTTATTCGACACTAAAAGACCTATTACGGAAGCCGTACAATACAGTATGGTAGAAAAATTATTTTGTAGAGATATTCACCTGAACACAGCCCTGTCGTCAAGCGTGGGCCTCTCCCCTGGGAATAGTCCGAGAGACAGAGCTCCATCCTCATCACCGTCTGTCGTGTCTTCATTCGCCTCGGGCGAATTGCGGATACGACCTGCGATAAACAAATAATAAAGGTTAGAAACAGTAGAATAATTATACATATTTTTTTAATTTAATTTAAGTATGACAAATATTCAACAAAAATATTCAATAAAAAAAAATATTATAAATATTATAAAAAAATATTCAATAACAAAATATCGATAAAGCATATATAGTGGAAAAATACACATTGAGCGGTTTAAAGCAAATGTGTAGATTTAATAAAATCGTGCCTCTGCACCGAACGGGAAGTCCGTGGCAAGATATCATTACTAAGAATTCAAATTCAATGTTTTATAAATTAAATATGCGGTGGCGTATGGCGGTGCGTTTGCTGGGGTTTTGATGAAAAAAATGACAGAAATGTCCAAAAAATTAGCAATCCTAGTCATTCGAGACACAATAGTAAGAAATTAGGGGCGCGAACGCCGACTTTCGCTTGGGAGGAATTAGTAGTTATAAGGAGAAATAGTAGTTATTAAAATGTCATAAAGATGTAAAAATAAGACAGTAGATACATACCGACAACAAGTTCCCTGACGTCGGTCCACTGCAGGTCCTGCGAGGGTTCGTGCAGTATGGTGATGCGGATGCGGCGCTGTATGCCCTGGTGCAGCAGGAACAGCCCGCGGCATGGCAGCTCGTCAGAGTGCTCTACCACCTGGACAGAAGCAAATGTTTATAATGTGTCGCATTGATAAGTTGTAGACTAGTATTTTATGGCGTAGAGAAGAAAGAATGGTTATTAAAATAAAATTATACCATACTACTAGCTTTGCTTGCAGTATTGGGGTAAAAGTAACCTGCAATACAATGTAAAAGAACACTAGGTATCTAATGTAGCATAGTTTTATGATAATTTATTTCATTTAAGTACATCCGTCTAGAAGGCATTTATTTATCCATATATGTTTATTAACTTTCGTGTTTATATTATTATCATCAGAATATATTCAGTAACTACGCACGAGAACTACAAGTCTAAAGAATGTGAATTAATAATAATAAGATTCGAATTATCGATTGATTTCCATATAATCATCAATGGGTGCCAGTGTAAGAGAAAAAGACCAGTATTAGTACTCACAGCGGGCACGTACTCGCCGCTGGGCGCGAGCTCGCAGATCTCGAACCAGACGAGCAGGTCGTGCTTGGAGTGCAGGTGCGAGCTGCAGCAGGGCGCGGCCACGGCGGCGGCGCCCCACTTGGGGCTGCGCACCGGCGCCGAGATTGGGATCGACGGCGGCAGCATGCGCCGCGGGGGCGTGCGGCCCCCCACCACGCCCGCCCCGCCGTCCTGCTTCGCGTCCTGGTTACATTGTCGAACATTTTGTACATGGTAGGACGGCATGGTTATTGGTAAAAAGCTATAATGATTGCTTAGGTAAAGCTGTTAATATGGATAAAAATATCCTTATTTTTATTTTTGGTAATACCTTTTTCTTTAGTAAAGTTTAATAAAATGTCTGTTTAAGTATTTGAAATACTACAAAGCTAATGCGTTATAGTCGGTCACAAGTGCTTCGTTTATGAACCGACATGAAAAACATTGATACGTGAATTCTTATGAATTCAAAAGTTGGTCCTTTTCACCAAAATTCGACTCAAAGGACCAAAACATGATTGAAAACAAAACAAATATTTTTTACCGCATTCATTTTAAACGTCGTAAATAAATAAATTAAATAACTTAATACGACATTTTTAAAGCGAAATACATGGAACACATACACAACAATAAATTAGAGTGTTACGTACAATATAGCTTACCTTGTGCAGTGGATGTTGTTGGTAGTGGCCGAACACTTCGAACACGATCGGCTGCGTCTTTATGTACTCAACGAACGATTTCGTTACTGGTACTGTGATCTGTGTAAAAAGAATATATGTATAATTAACTGGAGACCGGCTAAAGGATTTTAGTTTTTAACTCCCTTTTTTAGGGTCTAACGATTTTGTACATGCTTATTAGATTCGGGTCGGTATGATTGACATAATAGAATGTGTAAATTTATTTCTGCTGTAAATGCGGTTTTCTTTTCTACAACAGTGAGACTCTAATTATTAATTTTTTTTTACAAATTGCTATAGCATCTTTTTTCTTGATATTGGGTGTATAGATTACTTACATTTTGCACATGGTAGAAACCAAGTGGCGTGTTCTTGCCCGCATTTTTGACGGGCTCTGTCGAGAATGCGTCTTCGTTGCGGTGTAAGAAGCTGCAAAGAGAACAATCATGTTAGCTTGTTACGACAAAAAAATAATAATAAAGGGGTAAATTTTACTTTAGAATAGAAGAATCAATATTAAATATATTCTGTCTTATTTCCTGCAAGATATTAAAGATCGATGTTTATTGTATGATTATGAGTACTTATTTATACCTCACTACTTGAGGCTTAATGATTTTTTTTGTTATTTGTGACTGATTACTTTGCCTAATAATTTACCTTTTTTATAGCTAACACATGACTAGTATCACAATATATAACTCACTTGAACTGGCAGAATACATCGGCGTAGTCTGTGGACACGCTGTGAGCTTGCAGCACGGTGACTCTGAAGGTGAACTCCTTGCCCAGCGTGAGGTGCTCGGGCAGGTCCTCCTCCTTCAGCTCGGAGGCCAGGGAACTGTCCCCGCGACCACTGTCAGCGTCACACTCACCCATTGCCAGTTCTGAATGGAAAAAGATTATATCCATTATAACATTAATAAAAATCTTAATACTTTGACTATTTCAATTATATTTTCAAGTTCACATCATCAGCTTATAAGTGCTCACTGCTGAGCAAACGCCTCTTCCCACAAGGAGAAGGTTTGAGCACTAATCACCACGCTAGCTCGAGGCGGATTGGCGATTTCAAACTTATAATTAGAAATTATTAGTCCAGGTTTCCTCACGATGTTTTCTTTCACTGCTTGTTAGTGGTGTCTAAATAATCGTAGAAAGTACATGTAACTCGGAAAAAGTTACATAGGTTACTAGCCAGGTTTCGAACCCGCACCCTCAAGCATGACAAGCGGTAAACCTATAACTATCAATGATTGAGTCTTCTAATTTTCTAAATAGGCTTCTTTAGAAAATAGTACCTTCGATCTTGATATTAGAATCGGGCACATCGTTAATGCGTTCGTCGAGATTAATCGCGTTGTTTTTGTCGACAGCAGACAGCTTGGTACGACGGGCCGGGGCCACGTCGTCGTCGAACGAGATCTTCGCCGACTGCTTCACGCCGGCTGCGAATTCTGCATTGTCTACAAAATCGTTTGCCACACTTCAGAATAGAGAAAGAGTGAGATAGAAACAGAGTTTTTAGAGGGAAGTTTAGTAGGATTCTTAGAAGTTTAAGGTTAGACAGTTTGTAGATTGGAAGAAAGTAAAATGACAGATGGAAAAGAAGAGATTAAAGAATTGATCTTAATGTGGGTTTAGGCTTTCATTATTAACAAAGCAGCAAAGCTAAACTATATCTATTATGTACAAAATCTAACAAAGTTTCTTTTAGGATAATCCTCTTTTGAAAAACTCAGATATTTTCCTCCCACTGACCGTTGAAGGTTATGTAAAGGACCAAATAGATAACACAAGAATACAAGATTCAGATATAAAAAAATATTGTGACGCTGGTACTCACTCTTTTCAGCGTCGATAACAGCCTGCACGGCTACTCGAAGGTAGCCCTTGACGTCTCCTTTCTCATTCACAATGGCCACTTTATGAATGAGAGGAACCGGATACAGCAGGTTCGATAGGTATACGAAGCTCCTGTTTTAGACAAAATAATAGAATTAAATCAAACAAAGTTTTACAACAAAAGTTTTGATAAAGGAATTTCTCTATTTAAGGTGTGGTGTAATATGATTTAAATAAGGTATCAAAACTTAACAAATTAATAAATTCGCGACACGAAGGACCAAATTAAGCAATGATCTGTTGTAACAACATATTGTACCTTAACAGTGTCCATTTGTTACATAATTTAAATCTAATTAGTCCGTCAGTTAAATAATGAAATTTGTATACATATAAGTCTTTTAGACACCATTATTTGAAAACGATATTTAGATGGCATGTCGCTATGACACCGCTCAATATATAATGTGACGTCATTAGATAAGTTAATCCTATATATCGATAAAAGTATTTAATTTCTTAAGTAAAAAATATGTATCTTGAATTAATCTAACAAACCTGAATAAAAATATTGACATCACACCTGTTGCTACCAGAGGCAACTAAATATTAACAGAACTTACCGTCCAACTAGACGGAACCACGGGAATCTGTCGTAGAACGGGTCACCGCCAGTAACGGACTCAATGTTATGGTCCGGCGAAGTTGGAGACAACTCGGCTTCATTGTGGTACATCTCACGCATCAACTCCAGACGTTGCCTGGTAAAACACATGGAAAATTAAACTTAAATGTGTTTAGAATAAGATTACGTTTTGTGTAGATACTGGAGGGAAGAAGTTTATTTTGCTATAGCAGATAATTAAAGCAAATTGCCAAACATTGAAAGCAGCGCAAAAAGCAAATACTGTTCCATTAAAATGTCTAAATTACACTTCCCATTTTAATATGATTTATTCTGAAGTAGACACCATATGTGAATTTTAATTGAACAGTATTTTTAACTTCTTAGTAAAGCGATACTACTTCAATGTTACACGATAATAAACATTTCGAAATATAAAATTGGAATCTAAATCATACAGAAATATCGAATATTATATGTATACAATGAGCGAAACGCGAGACAGTATTTCTTAATGTTGGTTTCATAGAGTGCTTGCTACCTAAGTGGCAAAGCTCAACATTTCTTTATATAGGTAATTGCATGACAATTACGGCCAGAAATAATAACCAATCTCAATTTAAAACCTATGTGTTAGAACATGACCTGACATTATTATTTCAATAAAATAGGCATAACACAGTGAAAAATATACTGGACAAATTTGTTTTGACGATTAAAAAACCACTTTGGGTCACTACAGTAAGATTTTCAAAGTTTGGTTATTACTTAAGGCCGAATTAAAAGTTTGTAAGTGATTACAGACACTGTTATAAGAAGCCGACACTATGAAATTCCTTCTTCATATGTAAATTTGATATCTACCTTAAAAATAATACATGCAACATTTACAATTAAAGCCCAATCAGAAAGATAATAATGTAACGTTGGCGTTATAAACTTTTAAAGACTAATTTTAACACGCAAAATCATCCCATTATCGATGACAGCGCCACCGTAGTAGAACTATTATTTTTCTGATCGCTCCATACATTTATAGCTTAATATTGCAAGCTGAAAATTAAATGTTGAATATTTAATTAACATTAGTAGAAATTTGGTCCTCAGTGGAGCAAAGGACCAAATATTTGTGTACTGTTTTTTTGTTAAACCCTCGTATCAGTAAGTTGTGGTCACATTTTACGAAGTTAATTACATATTTGCTTATAAAATTGTTTCGAAATAGGTGAATAAATACTGTTTTGTTCACTTTTACATCTAGTTAATGTACTCATAAAATAATCCCACATCTTTCTAATATATTAGGTATGTGTAATAACAACAGGGATACTGATGTACAGATATACAAATGCATAATCTATGATCAAAATATTAAATTCTGACGTTGTTTAAGATATTAACTAACTGTTCCGTAATGGTTACTGATATTAAAAATATTATTTTGATCATAGATAGGTACAGCAAAATAATTTCTCTGTAATAAAATAGGAAATCACTTAATCGTAGTTAGACTTCCTCTTGAGTTGTTGTGACTTTTTAACATATTGTATAGGGCCTCTAGGTACACGTTCGGATATAACAAGCGCAGAAATATGCAAATCTCAATAATACAGGTACATGGAAAGTATGTCTTCAAGAAAAGTTTTCTTATAATCCACTGAACTTCTGAATCTCAAGAAGAGGCAAGGCGACCTGACATTCATTTCCACCCGAACATTCAACAAGAAAGTGCGAATGATACAATTTTGAACTTCCATATTAGAGACAACCCAACTACCTACTCCAATATGGAAATTAATTACACAGACTTGCAGCTTAAAAAAATTGTAATAAAGTCGAAAATTGAAAAATCAGATTGGAGAAGGTATTTGGCTGTTATTAAAACATAAAGAAGGCTATATTTTTAGAAGTAAGCCTTAAGTCTTTAAGTTAAGCTTTTTACAATGCACGATAGTGTGACAGTAATTTTTTCGTGTATATACATTGCAAGCTAACGGTGCACATGATAAACTGGCGAAAGTCTTCTGTGGTCGATCTCCGTGTGCAGCCTATTGTCCTAAGCTTGTGTCCGCGTTCCTGGTCTGTCCTTACAAGCACATCTTGATAAAATATAGCGATTTAACTATGTAATATACGAAACATTGTAGCAGATTACATTTTGTTTTATAATTTTATAATGTAGTTAGAAATAAAATCGCTATAACATATCTGGACGTGGGGCCTGTACGTGTCGCCGGGTCACAAACCTGGAGGGCAGTAGGTTGGCTAGCGACAGGCGCGTCTGTTGAGCGCACGCAGAGATACAGTGCAGTATGTCGGGGGGCTGCGCCGCGGCCGCGCCCCCGACTACGCCCCCGGCCGCGCCCCCCGCCACGTGCGGCGGTGGCGCCAGCACTAGCGGGGGCGCGTCGTCCTCGGCACAAGCGCTCTCGTTCATGTTGTATATCTGTCGCATGAGCTCCAGGCGATGGCTACGGACAATACACCCATGTAGCCCGCTGCCCTACCGCGCCTCGCTACCTACTCTGACACACTGCGACCTATTTCCAAACTGAGAGGTAATGCCTCTCTGTCTCTTCCATTGAACAACAGCTCTCATTGTCGACGTCTAAATATTAAAAAACTAGACAAAATCTAAGACAATCCCACTAGGTAATAAATATAAGATATGTAAGAAATTGGTCCTTCTACGCTATACTCGTAAGGAGTAGGCATGCCCTCTCATTTTGATCGAGCAAATGATCAGAACTTCATTATCTATAATAAAAAAAGTGAATAAAATGTATTATGGTGTAATTATGAAAAGAGAAAAATGTATAGTATAGTGTATTTGTAATGAATTCTTTTCATTTGCTTAAGTAATTATTTCGTAAAAAATGAGGGAATTTATCATAACATTATATATAAATAGCACGTTAAAATGTAAAACAAAATAAAAAAGCAGCAAATAAAACAAGCTCTATTGTAAATGGAATAGACATTGCAACTATACATTTAGACCTAATACAGGAAAGTGTACTTACCCGGCCACTATGTACACAATGTCTATAGCACAGAGTATATAACCGACCATAGTATCGTAATATAAGATATATAATAACATATATAAAGTATCCTCCACACGGCACCAGCAAAATAGATATTTTTATCTGACAATAAACAGATTCGGACGAAAGGACCAAAAACAAAATGCAACAAAATTAACGAAATAATGAATGTGTTGTCTTACTGTATATATTTTAGTTTTAAAAAATAAACAAGAGAGAACTAAAACGAAATATACCGAGAAGTATTTTTGTAGAAAATACTTGAAATTAATTCGCAATAAATAGATAATTATCTGTATCAATTAGAAAAATAGTTGTGTGTCAACTTAAATAATATAACCTAATAATAAGAATTGTACCTAAACTTAATTCTGGGCTCTATCATTGTAAATTAAACCCTAAGATTCAAGTTGGACAATATATTTCACATTGAGGCGATCCTAAAATCTTCTAACGTCATCTCATATATACGAGAGACAGGGTGCCAAAGAAATATAGGCCTTCTCACAAAGAGAATATATTCCAACATCCCTAAAATGACTTACCGTAACTTCTCAAGCGTCCAATAATGGGTGGCACCGTTCTTGGTGTCAGTGACCTCGACGGCTACGACCGTTGGGGCCGAGGGTCGGTACTCATCATCAGCGTCGTCGCGGGGAGCCAGCTCGGCAGGCAGTGGAGAGTAAGGAGTGTCCGTCAGTAATGTGAACTGGAATTGCACTTTCTTGCGAAGCTCCACTGAGATGGCGTTCGCTTCCTGTTCGGGGAGAAATATTGTTAGTTTTTGGTTTTTGTTTCAGTGGCGCTAGTATCGCTTTTGGGCTTTAGTAATTGGTCAGGAAATAATAAGCAAACGAGACTTATTTTAACAATATTTAGTGCTTTACAATTCAAAATAAATGTATAATAAAAAAATTAAGATCGGTACGCATTTTATACCATGTTCCAAATTGATTTATAATAAATAAATAACCTTTCAGTTAACCTACGTTAAGCGTTGTATTATGTGTGCCTATAATAAACAAGATCTTACCTTGAGGAAGATAGCATTGCCCCATAGGTCGTCACGTAGAGACGTGAACTGATGATACTTCCACTTGCGGAATGCCCAGGCGGCTAGGCCAACCTCGCGAGCTGACCAGCATTCCGTCTCGAACAACGGGTTCACTACATACATAAATAAATTGAATGTCATATACGTGTCCCATCTAATCGTTTTCTTATACTTAATTGAATTTATTTTATTTCATCTTTTACTAACAAAAATGAATGGACGAGCTTGAATGAGTCAGAATATTATAATTACATTTAATCTGCCTTTGGTCCTCATAATAACCACAAGGACCACACTTAATGTCATTAGCTTTTGTGAGTGAAGAATATGAATTATAAAGCCTGTTTGTACTGTTACTCCATTGTAAGAAATATTGAATAAACGGATAATTATTTAATTTATTTAGGTATTTATATCCCCTAGATGAGGCAAAAGACTATTGGCTGTTACGTACGATGAACTTAGCTTACCAAATATATCCTCATCATTATGGAAGTCCTCGGGAGTGTATGAGCTGTACATGGACATGGTGACGCTCTGCTCTTCCACTTGACGCTGCAGAGCATCGATGCGAGCTTCATAGTTCTAGAAGAAGCAAGAGGCAGCGTTAAAAATGTTTGTAATATATGTATATAAAAAGAGGTAAAATGTGCCAAATCGGTAAAGGCATTGTTGAGTTTCAACATCACAACGAAAATAGCATTGCTTTATATATATAGCGAATCCCACCCCAAAAACCCCCTACACATCGACCGTTTCCGAGACCACATTCTTTTTCAAGCAATCAGCGCCATCTGCCGGGCTGATTTGTGAATCTAAACCATCCAGGGCGCCACTCAAACGCATAGAGAAAAATTCATTTAAATAGGTTAAGCCGTTTAGGAGGAGTTCAATGACATTCACACACAGCAGAATTATATATATAAAGATAGATAAAAGCTTGTACAATACCTTGCGCTGTTCCTCAAACTGCTGGTCAGCGTGTTCTTTCTCCCTACGGAACTGTTCCTCTAGTGCAAGCAGGCGTTTCTGCATCTCGGCCTTCAAATCGATGCCCTGCTTCTCCAGCAACTCGCATTGGGCGTAGTCCCAGTCCACGTTCTTGCCGTCCGCGTCTGTGCTTCCAGCTGGTTGAGGAAAAGAAAAACAAATTACGAATACGGTAGTTTTCAACTAGTCAAATTCAATACTTTTATCCAAATGTCAAAAACGATGGATTTCTATGAAATTTGTATGAAACACTGAGTTGTGACGTCATAGCTTTTTTGCGTCAAATATCGAAACTTAGTGTATCGATCGATCGATGAATAAAAGTATAGTTATTTTTCAATATTTTATTGTATTAAAACGTCGAATTAATTTATTGTTGAGCTAGGAAACTAACCAATTTGATTTTGTTATTGGTTAAATAAAAGGATACATTTTGGGTTACGGTTGGTTAATAGAAGGAAAAAAAATGTTTTCTTTGTCAGGATTAATGTTAATATTTTCATATAATACACTTTTCGCACGGTTTCACCCGCTGCACAGATTAGCCCTTAGACTCTAACCTAATGTTTTATGGCTTATAGCCTTCCTCAATAAATATATTAACAAACACAAAAAGGATTGTTCAATATGAACCAGAAGTTCCGGAGATTAGCGCGTTCTATCAAACTCTACAGCTTTATATTTAAATAAAAATTTCATTACACGTGTTTGTCCGCGATGGACTCCTAAACTAATAAACCGATTTTAAATTTGATTCGCATTACGTGTGCATTTTGATCCAAATTGAAAGATAGGATAGCTTACATTACAATTTATAGACACAATACCTTAGCTTAGCCCAGGCAACGCGTGGCTGGGTCTGCTAGTATTAGTATAGATATAAGTATACTCACAGTCACTCTCAGTATAGCTGGTAGTAAGTTCCTTATTCTCCTTGTTGATGGGTTCCTCGCGCGGTTGTCCTGGGTGCGTGAAGCGGAACACGTGGTTCTTGCCCAAGATCACGCGGGAACCTGACTTAAGGATCACTGGCTCCGTTACCTAGGACATGTGTTATATTGTTAGTTTTCTGGCTATTGTTATGCTAAGATGGTTCCTAGTGTGGTAAAGATAAGACAAGTATTTGTTTGCTTGTTGTTGCTTTTTGCGTAATCTTTTTCTTCTCCAAGTCTTTGACTATTGGTAAGTGAAAAAAGTTCTTATAGTATTGTAATAAGGCAGGTTTTTGTGTTTTGCGAGGCGTTTGCGTATTTTGACGTCATATTAAAAGAACCCATAATGGCTTTATCACTTCAGTAAGTATATTCCATTTGAAGAAAGTGCGATTAATCTATATTTTATTTATTTTATCTAGTTACATAAAATTCAACAAGTAAGTAACAATAATTCAAGAAACTTACACAAGAAGAAACTTACATTTCACATCTGATCATATTCCCATTTATATTTGAAAACATATTATTATTATCCCAAACAATATATACCTCGCGTCCATTAACATAGATGAGCGCATCTCGATGAGGGATGAGGAGTATGACTCCGTCGGTGTTCTCGAAGATGCAGTGCTCGCTGAGTATGTGCGAGCCAGACAGCTGGATGTCTTGCGGCACGTTAGCCTCCGAGGTACCCACGCGGGTTACACCTGGAAATAAAGCAAGAATGGAATTTCTTTCTTATTCTAAGTGTGGGCTCGACCGGAATAATATTTAACATCACAGCCATAACCTCGCAGAAAACTGGCGTAAAATAACAACAGCGTTGTGTTTCGCCGTGTGAGTAAAGCTACCGGAGGCCCAAACCTTCCCCTCCCCCAATCCCTCCTCAATCCCTAAATCTCCAAATCCCTAATCCCTAAAAGGTCGGCAACGCACTCGTAACTCCTCCGCTGCGGGTGTCTATAGGCGGCGATGATTGCTTACCATCAGGTAATCCGTCTGCTCGTTTGCCGACCTATTACACAAAAAAAAAGCCTCATAACCCTGTAGAAACTTCATCATCATCATCATCATCAGCCTGTTGTCGTCCACTGCTGGAATTGGCCTCCCCAATTGCACGCCACTGAGCTCGATGTTCAGCTCTTCTCATCCAACCACTGCCAGCCACCCTGCGGATGTCGTCAGTCCACCTAGCTGGAGGGCGCCCTACACTACGTTTGCCTAGACGTGGTCTCCACTCTAGAACACAGAAACTTACCGTCCTTGATATAATAAATGAGACACTCCGACAGATTGGGGTCTTCGTTCAAGTTGACAAGATGAGGGGTCTTCTTAGGCGAGTAAATGCCGACGGTGATACCACCCTCCTTCACTGCCAACCCCATTTCCGCGAACACGGCTTCGCGTTGCACCCGGATTTGCTCGGTACGCTTCAGTTTCTCTTCCCAAGTCTCGTTCAGTTCTGTTGAAGAAATAATATGGTAAAATAGTTTCTTTAGATTTTTTTTTCCAGTTTTGTTTTGACCATCCAGTATTGCCATATTTAAAAAAAAATAGTACATTTTACTATGAATACTTTAAGATATTCATTACTAAACGCAAAAAACTCTATGATAATTTTTTACATGTATACAATAAAGATAGCAGCGCAACTTTCACCGAGTCGTTTCTCACGACTTGCTTCTCAAGGCTATGAGTCCCAGGCATGGCTCGAAACTAATCGAGCTACCTCGTCAACCTTCACTCATGTATAATAGATATCTATATGCAGTCTTTATGAATATACATATATCTTACCAGCAATAAGTTTCTCAGAGGCTTGGAGTTGGTCGACGGCCTCTTCAGCAATGGTCGTAGCAGCTCGAGACAACTTCGGCGAAAGCACCTCCGCCTCGCTCTTCTTGCGTTGTGGGGACGCATTGTTCTCTTCTCCTAGTAAATTGAATTTAGAATAACAAGTTAATGTTTGAATACATATTGTAAGCTTTTGTAATTGTTATTCTATTTTTGACTGTTTTAAGGTTGCATTTCGTTTGTTCGTTGCATGTTAGAATTAATTGAAGTTCAGTCACAAATTTAAGATACTTTTCAATGCACTTTTGATGATGTACTTATTCTTTTTATACAACAACGAAAGAAATATAATGAAAAATCATTAAATAGTTATAGGTATTCCATTACAATTTTAATAAAACCCTTAAAGGTTTCATTTTATCCTATTATTTTCAAATTGCCAATTGAAATATTCGTTAGATTGTACTTATAACTGTAAGCATGCTTAAATATGGTTATACATATATATTTCAAATCAATCTACATCTAGTCTATCTCAAGGATTATATGGATTATAGTTCTTATTACAATTAAATTTTTCTTTTGCACCAGTGTTTGTGTAGTGCCAATCGTGCAACCTCTTTTGTGGAAACTATTCCACAATAGGACCAAAATATTTGCGGGTTACAATTTACTAAACAAAAAAAATATATTTGACACCAATACTCTATTTTGACACAAATATAATGGGAAAACATGCAAGGCTTCTGAAGCTAGAAAGCTTTGTTGTAGCAATGCAATAATTTGTCTCAGCCTATTGGCGACCAACTAATTTTGGACCAATATTTGTGACTTTTACAATGCCAATATTTGTGACTTTTACATTGCCAATATTTGTGACGTGGCCGCCAATGGATTTTATATCCGGCTTAACAATCGATTTTGATGATATGAGGACGAAGTAGTTAAGTAAAACTTTTAAAAACAATGCTGTAATAATTCCAAGCTAAATAAATCCTATTGTGTTATAATAAAGTCGAAAATCCACTGAAAATGGCATAAATACGGAATCAAAATCGATTATTTTTAACAACACAGGTCTGAGCACTTGAGAATATTAAATATTCATTGATACATACAAGATATATAAATGCTCAGTTACATAGATATAACAGCACACCAAGTATTTGCTACATACATATATATACTATATAACCATCATAGATAGTGTTCAGACCAACACCAATAGAATATAGTGATAAATAAGCGAAATATATTCATATTATATTGATGGTATGACCCACACCATACTTGAAAAATCTGTATGTCTGTGAATTACTATAATATTATAATTATTATATATTATATGCCTACAAACGCCACAAGCGCTGGTCAAGGTGCAAAATAAATTGCTTCTTTTCATCAGTGTCAGGTTGCCAGAGCATAGACCAAAAACTTTTTTGGTTTTTTTTTTCTTATCTGGCAACCCCGATTCAAGATGGAGGCCAAGCGTACAGGTGGGGTGTACAGATGCAAAAATGCGCAAGCCTCTTTATTATTGTTACTTACTGATGGGCTCTTGTTTCTTTTCATAAAGGACTTTACCATCTGGTCCTAGTTCGTGTGGATTTTGGAAACAGAATTAAATTTTAGTATCAGGAATGCGACTGAATGGTTATATGTTGCGCTAATTGTAACTGGCGTGCTTTGTTTGCTATGAAACAATCACACAAGACTGTCTATCAATCACAAGACGTCTAAACATCCTAACTCACTCACAAGGCCGAGATTAAGCGTTCGCAGAGGTCGGTAGATAAACTGACATACATACCAATTTAGACCCTTTTTTAAAAGATACTTCTAACCCCTCAAATAGTAACAGGACCCCAACATATCATTCCTTTTTCTCGATGAACATATTTGGGAATTATTCATCATCAAAATTCGCCATTTTCAATTTAACGCTATTTCAAAGTAACCTCTATACCAATCCCAATAAATTTCAAATTGCCAATTAATCGATTTATCTACCGACCATCTTGAAATAACAAGGCCATGTATACACAAGAGAAGCCTACCTTCTTCGACTTCAATGCCCTCTGCCTTGAGCAGTTCCCGGAGTTTGAGTATTTCTTCTTTGAGCTCTCGGATGAGTTTGGCGTTGGCGTCCTCATTGACGACCGCCTTGCAGACGATCTGCTTGGCGCGGTCGGCGTATCTGGATATCGAAAAGTTAAGTTTAGCTTACGAATTAAGTATAAAATGTAAAAAGTGTGTGTTACGAAATAATTTCAAGTGCAATTGTAATGATCGTTTTACTTGGAACATTCGGACTTATGGAAATCTCTCCAGTTATGTAAATACAATTCAATCTTTTTGAATCAAAATTAAGAATTCAAGGACACATATTGTATCATTAAAATTATTTTATATAAGATGTGAAAACTATTCCAATCAACTATTATATACTTTACTAAGTGCATAGTGGACTAAACAAGACCTAAATCTTCAATATAAGAAAAAATACAAATAAAAGTTTAATACGACACAATAAACAAAAAGTACATAATTTTACCTCAACGTGCTGAGTGTTTCATCAAAGTTAATGTCAGCTGGTGAGATGGCTGCTATCATAGCAGTCTTGGAGTTCCCGCCGAGGTTCTCGCGCAGCAACCACGTCAGCACCGAGTCACGGTACGGAATGAAGTCTGCCTTCTTCGACTTCTTACTCTTTGAAGCCTAGGTGGAAGAATTCATTTTACAAAGGTTTCAGAAATATTGTTGAGGAGGATATGGGAAAATATCTGCGTTATTATTCTAAGATGCTAAATAAGCTTATGGAATGATAAATTACTTATACCTATACTATAATACAATTCAAATAGAAAGACGATTGCGTTTACTAAAAATAATTAATACTTTGCTACCAACAAAACACCAAAAAAACATTTTATTAATAAGTACATACGTATGTATATAATAACACAGATTTCTTCCATTAACGTGAATTAAACTTTATTTAGCACTGGGCCACACACGGGCAATTTGTGACGAGGCGTGACATTAAGAATCAATTACACTTTGCACTATTGCGCAAAATTTAAATAACATAACAAAAAATACAATATTGTTTTCTAGGATGTATAACAATGTAAAGCTCATTTATAAGCATTGCGCAAAATTTTGCGCAACCGTTTGCGCACGTAGAGGTTTAGCGCAATAGCAAAGCCTGTAGTTGAAACTTAATACAAGATTGGATATCAATGCGTATGCACATAAGGCTTAGTACTTACCGTCAACACGAACATTACAATCGGGACAAAAAGCCAAATATTGCAAGTGAATGAATTACAAAAACCGGTTTTCAAAGTGAATAATCGTGAGAAGCATAGCCGATTGGCCAAGGCTTGAAAAGCCGATATTCTTAAAAGGCTTAAAGCATATTTCGCCCAATTGTAAAGGGGTAAAAATATAATATAATGTGCACACACTCCTGTACTCTCTATTATAAAACCAAACTCACCGACTATATTATAATTTCCACGGAGAAACGGTGCAGTAAAACAAACGTGAATCTTTTGTTAGTATTTAGCATACATCTACGAATAAAGTGCTGTACACTTTAACGTTTAGTTAGAAGAGTTTACTTCAAGCATTAACTTACACTGTCTCATATTTTCTATGAGTGTACAATTCTAAACTTCTGACTTTCAGAGCAAAACAAAATGCGCTCAAATACACCATCATAGCGGCAAAAGTCTAGAAGGTCCATTAAGTAATGTAAGTAAGTTGCAAAAAGCAAACAGACACACCAAAAATTAATAATGTACAGTTCTTTATTCAATTTTATTTAGCAAATAGCAAGGAATACTTTAAAGTTATTTTTAATATTAATAGCAATCCGTTGGAAATTATTCGCTTAAAACTAAACACATGTATAATATCGTTAGCTTAGGTTTAACTATATAACACAGACTAGGGAATAGGAAAGTTTAATTAGTTGAATCTCTAGACTCTAGGGTAATAACTACATAGTTGCTGTACATACAATCGTATAGAAGTTTAGAATATTATTTAGCAGTATGAGAAGTAATTATAATGTTTGAAGGAGAAATGCAGGTAGTAACTAGTAGTATAGTAGATTTTCTGTGTTCATAATCAATTTGATCGCTTTGAAATATCATCTTAATCTGACAAGCATTTGAGACAGTTTATTTCCTTCAGCTTTTTTGACCCTTGTTTATTAGGTAGCTTCCAACTAGTCAAATTCAAAACTTTTATTGAAATATCAAAACTATACTTTTCTATGAATTTCGGAAAAGATCGCAACATATGACGTCATATTGTATTTACGTCAAACAGCATACTTATTATTTAAAAGTTGACATCAAATAATTAAATCGTCAAATCAATGAAAAAAAGTATGACTATATTAATAATTAATTGTATTGAAAAGTCAAAATAATTTATTTTTGACCTTGGTAACCCTCCCTATTTCAGATTCAACTATACAGAAGGAAGTTCTAACACAAATCTACTCTACCATCATAAAATAATCTCAAAAAAATAAACTTACAATTTCAGCCAGTGCTGATATGACTTTTCCAAGTGTAGTCAGGGACTTGTTAATGTTCGCGCCTTCCTTGAGACGGGTACCCTTAGCTCCTGTTGAGTCAGCTCGCTCGGATCCCGCCAAATCTACCAGCGAGATTTTCGACACCTGAAAATGATATGGTTTTAAAATCATACTGTTCGTGTAAGCTATGAAATTTTGATATGTTTTATTAAATGCCTACATTTATAAGTGAAAAGTTTCGAGAATACTGTTCGTATAATGTAACATTCAGACTTATATGTATTTATTACCTACTATGAGTACTTTACTATAGAGTACAATTTTCATTGCTTTGTACATAAAAATTTTGCACATAAGATTATTCATATATTATGCCGTAATAATTAAACCGGGTCTAAAGATTTTATAAAAATTATAAAATACACAATCACCCTTTCAACCAATATACTGGTAACAGAAAAATAACTCGAGTTCATATTAAGATTATTAAGGTTTGATCCTTACCTTCTCGGACATGAGGTTGGTGGTCTGATCATGCCTCTGCTGCGTGAAGAATATGGTGAAGACAGCGTGTGAGCGAGATGACGTCTCGTTCATGTTGGTGGCCGCCACAGTCCTGTTCAATATACGTTAATTTCAGAACAAGACACCTATATCTACTACACAGTATAAAACAAATTCGCTTTCTCCGACCCTATCTAGGGATATATAGGGTCAGAGACTTGTCAATTAAATATTTAAGCATACATAGGGATGTATGCTTAAATATTATTATTAAATATTTAATTGACAAGTAAGGTTAATATGTATAGTAACATCGAATGAATAGTGGAGAAATATAGTATCAGCATTGCACCCAAAGCCGGGGCGGGTCGCTTGTTTTTATATATAGTAGTATAATTTGTATAAATTATCAATGTGTGCAAAAATACATAGAATTGCACAGGGTATCTAGTAAGTTTTTTTAAACTAATAAACAACTGTTTGTTAAGTAACGTAGGTTACAATTTGGAAATAAAAATGATCTAATAAGTCAAAAAAACCTTTTTTCAAACTACCTATTTTCTTAATTCTGAATCTAATAAAAAGAAAAAAGCACTCCTTTTTGGGCAGTCATGTAATAAAAAAGTAGGTGTTCTTACCTAGCCTTGTTGCCCTCATCAATAAGGTCGTAAATGTCCTGGTATGACGTCACGGCCAGTTTGCTAAGGTCCTCCACGTAGGGGCCGAGCGCAGGGTGCTCACGAACCCGGAGGTTGCCCTTGTTCTTAGGGTTCAGGAGATCGCGGACTCGCTCGCAGTATATCTCCATATAGGATACTTCCACCTGGTATGGAAAATATTGTAGGTGGTTGGAGCCAAAATATATTTTATAAAGTTATGTGTAGGTATTATTATTTCATACTATGTACTTATCAAGTAAATGTTTAACGAATAGAAATACTTAATTTATTTATTTATTAAAAACTTTATACAATACAAAGGAAAGGCGGATTTAATGTATTGGGCATTGTCTAACAGTCAACCTTTAGGTGGTGGAGAGATGAATACGGCAGATGACATAAGTAAATATATATAACTGTTTCTTTGTTTCTGTATTTACTTTCCTATTAACTATATGTGTAGTGTGAATAAATCACTTATAAATATAAGTACTGCATATACACATGGAGATGAATTTTGTAAATGGTTAAATTACTTACTAACTAGTTTCTACCGGTGGCTTCGTTTTCAGTACTAGGGCAAAAAGTAGCTGACGCGTTAATCACACTTAACTATAATCATCCTCTACGCCAAATTTCATTCTGATCCTTTCAGTAGTTTTTTACACATGAACATGATAATCTTACTAAAAATGGCTTACAATTTTACATACATTGATTTGTATGAGAGATTTATAATTATGATATGACCTTAATAAATGAAACTACACTTTGAATGGAATTAATATAGATTTTCGATTTTATCTTGGACATATAATGAACTGAACTACAATATAATAATATATGTGTTATATTATACTAATAGCTATTTGATTATAAGAGCCAAATACCAATCCCCACTATGATACGGAAGAAAAAATTAATTTAAAACATTGCAATCATTTACTCATTTCTTGAAATCACTATTAACCAAAAAGGATATTTCCTTCTCATATTTCGGAAGTGTTATTAACATTAAATAAACTGAATTTGAATTGCTAATATTGTAATTACATTCAGCATTAATTATTCATGTAAATTCTCATTGCTTTACAGAGTGGAACTGAGCATTTCGGGCCGTTTCGAACATCTGTGTTGGAAATAAAATGGCAGACAGACTTTATTATTATTGACCGCCATAATTTTATTATTGTGCTGGAACTGGTAAAATATAATACCGATGTATTAAAGTATTTGAAAGGGTTTTAGTTATAGCAAATACTTCATTACCTAAAACAGTTTATTTGCGATCTAATAGCGAAATAAAACATGTATCTTTCAATTTGCTAAGTCCGAAGCGAAAATATTGTGGTAATTTAATAAAAACCACCATTCAGAGTGTTTAGTGCCAAAGGTTGTTTTATGTAGCCCTCTAATTGGTTGATTAACGTAAAGCAAATTAGGCCTGATTGTATTTAGAAATATTCATAATTTTCTTCTTTCAATTTTACTTATTACATAGACACAATTACGATATTATTATACTTTTCTGTCAATTGGATAGTTTTCTAGGTCAACAATAAATTAACTGGACGTTTGAATATAATAAAATATTGAAATATAACTATACTTTTATTAAACGACCTGTCGATACACAAAATTTTCTATATTCTTAAGAAATCATACAAATTTCATAGAAAACTGTCGTTTTGACATTTGAATAAAAGTATTGAATTTGACTGGTAGGAAAGTACCTATTATACCTTACCTACAAATGAACAGGAAGAAATAAAGGAATATTATACTAACCGAATACTTGAGATCATCGGAAGTGGTCTGTCGTATGCGTCTGAAGAGATCCTTGCAGATCTGGGGGATGATGCCTTCTTGCCCATCCTTGCCGCTGCCCATCATGGTGTAGGACTTGCCCGCACCCGTCTGGCCGTATGCGAATATGCATATGTTGTAGCCTGTTGGAGAAATGGATTTATTGTTTTGTGATAAGGTAACAATTGCAATGACGAATGACAGTTGATGCATATGGGACTAGCTGTTCACCTTCGCCCGCGTCCCGTAGGAACTTCTTCCCGTACAAGAATTAAATATAGCCTATAGTACTCAGGAACATTGTAGCTATCTATCAGTGAAAGAATTTTGGCAATCTGAAAAACCCCTACTTACAAACCTACAACTACCTCTTTATAATATTAGTATAGATTAAGTTATTCATAAAACCTACTTATATGTAAGTATTTAGATTAAGTTAGTCATAAAACCTACATATAGTTTTCCCTTGTGAGGGTTCTTTATTTGATTATTGCCATAGATACTTTAAATCAGAGGTTCCCAAACTTTTTTTTCTCATAGACCACTTTAAACATTTTGCTGGATCTGGTGGACCCCCTGCAACTATTACATTTACTAACTTCCTTCCAAAACCCGAAAAAAGTATATGTCTATGTAAATCTGTGTTGTGACTATTTTTTAATCAACTCTGAGTTTTCGAAAAAAAGGTGAGAATTTATATTGCTTTGATTATGCTGTGAGTTCAAGGCCTTCATCCAACAGATTCCTACTTTACCTTTTTGTATTCTAAGATTGACTCACAGTATAAGAAACCAATAAGCTCCCACTTCGGAGTGGTAAAAAGTAAAAATAGATATTTTCTTGTTTCGTAACTATTTATTCAAACATAAAAATTACTACACTGTTAATATGTTGTAATAACAGTCTTAGTAGAATCAAAATTTAACATCAAAACTAATAATCATTAGTATTTTAAAAACAGTCGCAATATAATCAAAATTTATAATTTAGATTACATTGCATTTCTTGCAATATAATAAAAATTTTGATAATGAAATATTGCGACTGTTTTTAAAATAATAATTATTACATATTAGTTTTGATGTTAACTTTTATCTCAAATTACCTTTGTAATCTGAGATCAAGATCCAGTGTTGCATAAAAAAACACATGGACAATCGCTTGTCTGTATTTGATGGAAGAAAACCAAATTTCAAATATTCGCACTTTAAGAAGAAGTGTCGACAGTACAGTCGATACCTTTAAAAATCCAACAAGTTCATGCAAGTTCAGATACGACTTTAACTAGGCGAGCGGGCAGCGCGGAATCGGCGAGTCTTGACACGCTCTTTCTGAATATGAAATATGCAAGTTCTTACAAAAACAATTGCTCAGCTGCTTATAATTTTGTCTTCCTATATTCATAGAAGTCAAATCGGGTCACCTAATACATTTTTATAGACCCCCGTTAACGAGTTGTGGACGCCCCCATTCTTTTTTCCACGCAAGCGTAGACCCCTGTCGGGCTCCCGTGGACCCCTGGGGGTCCACCTGGACCACTTTGGGAATCTATGCTTTAAATATATTTTTAACATAGAATTTACTGGACATAGTTGTTATAAATCTCATCTTTGTAAGTCTTCTTGTAAATGTTATTCATACGTATAAGATACTTACTTATACATGATAGCTAACCCCGTGAATCAATTAAAATCATTTTTTGTAAATAAGCCGTTGGATTGAATAAATAAAAAAAAGGATCGTCAACAAAAAAAATAAGTAAAAGTAGACCACGAGAACATAGATCCAAAATATGAGTACGCTCCGATCTGAGCGTGGATATGGCAATTTGCGAAAAGAAAGCGTTATTAGTGTTTCAAGTGAAAGTAGATAAAGTAGGTATGTGTTTTACCGTCGAACGCATGTTGCAACATCTCCTCTCCAATATCTTTGTACACCATGACTTGGGATGAAAATTCTGGATCGTTTGGCTGCAACAAAAATAAACAGGTTCATTTATACTTGATCGTAGTAACATAACACCATCATTCACACCTGAATGACTTCTCTTAAGAACTCTCCTTTTCTTGTTATAACGTCGCCGTCTCTCGCCCAATGTGAGGCGAGAGAGAGTGTCAGACTCTTACTGACTAAAAAACCCCTAAGTTCATTCTCCTGCTCTAGGCCGAGACCGCGGTGACTTATCGCGCTTGCCCCGCAAATTTAAATCGTAGCGAACGCATAACTTATGAAATTTACCTAATCGTTGAATAAACAAAACAATATAGCCAAGAAAGAACTAAACCATCACTTTTTGACATCGTAGCCACAACAAAACAAATTTAATTAAAATATATTTCTTTAATCTAATGAATAAATAGACTAAACTATCTTAGTAGCATCTGACGAGCTGACGAAGCCGACGCATACATTTGTATGAATTACAAATACCAACGCTAACCTTCGTTAAAATTGCAAATGAGGTAACGTGCTTCATAAGTAAGTATGTCAGAAAAATCTGAGTTCTTTCAAGAAAGAACAATTCAAGATTGGATAAAGTCAATTAGACAACTTGGCAGGCAGTTTGAGGTCTTATAACTAAAATGGGTAGGGACGTCACTAATGTATTAAAATAAGGCATCAATAATTAAGTCCACCAATAACAAATGAGGTCTGCGGTTAGCGAACAAGGGTGGCTCGCCGCTCGCCCAGAGCTAGAATGCCACCCGAGTGTGCAGCGCGGCTCAAAGAACTAATCGACCACCATATATGAGACCCAACTGGGTACAAAGGGGCTACAAAGCCGGGGTTTCGGGTCAAGCGTAATAAGGTTCTGCGACCTCAGCCTAGAGCAGGAGGAGGAACGGAGGATTTTTACTCAATAAGAGTCTCACAGTCTCGCCATATCCTGGGCGAGAGAAGCCATTTTATTATCTTCCCTACACAAAAAATGAAAGAACAGATTACCCCTGTCCAAGTACCTACACCACATATAATACTTCCCACGTTATTGTTTAGTTAACTTGAAACTATTGTTCCATATCGTTCATATCTGAATCAATTTTGAAACCTAAATGGAACGTTAGAAATAAGTTTAGTTGTTAAATATTTTACGCTAAAATGGCGAAATTACGCATGTCCTACGTGTAAAATTATGATAAGATAAATTTGCTTTTATCATGAAAACAAAACCATTCATCATTCTCATGTGGATACTATAGATTATTATATTATATATTGCCTTATCGGTTTTTGCTGTCCAGAACACAAATTAACGATACCTACATCACTGATCCTATTTTCACAAAGATAAAAATTACATAAAATATTTTAAAAATAGTTAATCAAATCAATTAAATTTCTTTTTCAAAAATAATTAATCAATTTTTATACTATTTCAGTGCTTTTAAATCACTACTTATATTAATGAAAAACACAATACCGCCAACGTATCTTGGCGAGTCTGAAGTTAGCCGATTAGCTGCGCAGTACACAATTTTGTTCCTAAAAGATCTATTGCGCAGACAAATGGCTAACTTCAGACCAAGTTACTTACTTACGTTATTAAACGTAAGCATATTTTTATTTGTATTGAAGTCGTGTACGTGCCAAAGGGATTCTAAAGGCTGAAATTAGTAACTGTTCTGAAACTAAAGTCTTTGGATAGACAGAATTTTTGTAGCACTACTGTCTACATATCGATTGAGACTGGATTAAGACAGGTTAATAAGGTCATAAATATACACCGTTATAGACGATTTTTTATCTATATGTTTAATACGCGTGATATAGAAGAATTTCGCATTTTCCGATTCAACTCGTAAATTCTCAAAATGCATCGCAAACAAAACCTTATTATAATAAGCATAGATGTACAAACAATTCAACCCCGTAACCCATAACCTCATATTTGCAAATACGGGCGCATGCCAATTTGAAATTGACCACAGAGGCCGTACGGTACTGACCTCGAAAGGACGCAAATTAATCATTACCGAGCAATCTCCGTGTGATCAAATGGACGCGGTTACTGCGGTCTGATGCTGTTTGCACTCAAATTATTGATGGACCTTTAATTGCTTTGGCTGTGTCGCTTGTTAACTAAAATATATGTTAGGTAGGGTCTTGAGTGAATATCTATATAGGTAATCTATAGATACAAAAATATATAAATTAAATAAGTTACTGATTGTAATATTGAATGACATATTCGATTTATACTTTATGCGTATAAGGATATACACACTATTCAAAACTAAACTAAACTTTTCCAATTTTAGTTTGTCTTTTTGTTTGTTTAGCGTTTTAGCTGGACAGAGTTTGATCGGAGATTTATTGGTAGGTAGCTGATCAGCTGATGTACTTAATAAGGCGTAACCTAGGCTATTGTAATTGGTATATCGAAAGAATATATGTAGTATTTCCACGCGAGATTAGTTGGAAATAAATATCTTAACTTTCCTGACAAAATATAACACTTTATTCACTCACTACCACTTATAAAAGAAACCATAAACTACAGGTTCAACCCAAACAAAAGCTTGTACCTAACTAAATAAAAACACAGGACTGAAAAATCCACAATAATAAATTAACTCGCGAAATCCTTTCCAATGGAATGGACTAGTAATATGGTAACGATATTTCCTACATCCAATATGGCAGACATCCAAACTCGAAACTGACCGATTAGCGATGATGAGGGTAATACCTTTAATAATCATATTATAGTTTGTATTTACGATAGTAACACTAGGTATAGTGTTTGTTCATTATAATGATGGCAACACTTTGCATACTTTCGATGTTTGAAAATATTAACATGTGTTGCCATATCACCTATGTGATTGGAGATCTTTCTGGGTCGTTTATAATTAAAATTCAAAAAGCTCAAAAGCCAAAAGAAAAGCGATCTTATTTTTTTATATATGTGACGTAAAATTATAATTAGTACCTACTTATAACAATGATTTTTAAATCCGAAAAACATTACGTTATTTTTCAAATAACAAAACAAAACAAAACACAACTTACAATCGATAAAATTCGTGGCTGCGTGGGTAATCGAATCCGTCACTACAAATACAACAATAATAATAATAGTTTGACGATTTCCGAGATAGTAATCGGAACGAAATCAAGGTTAATATCGATTCACAATCACATAATGTTTTAGAAATAGTGTTACTTGGTAAGAGTTGATTATAGCATGATTCGATAGAGATGGCTTTGTTGGTTGATAAAATAAAAAAAATATCTAAGGAGAAGGTAGATAAAATCAAAATTCAAATTATTAAAATTGCATTTAGAGAATTTCTAAATAATAAATGAATAAAATGTTTGCCAATTTAACTGAATACTTTGAAATGATGAATTCTTGTATAATTATTATAGCAACGATTTCAATGTTTTTTTTTTGTATGTAAAGAGTGTCCGCGAGAGACCTTATTATCTTAATATAGCTAAGTTATCCTTTCAGAAAATAAACAAAAACAATGAAATACTGATGATCCGTAATCTCAGTACTAATATAATTAATTTCAATTTAGTATCAAGATTATTTCTCGTCAAATATTCTACAAAACATATAACAAAAAACATACTAATGTTAAAACGTTGTATCAGAAACACGATTAGCAAATAAATAGGATGAAAGTGACTGGAACTTCCTCAACTTCTTCCTAGTCTGAAAGCAAAAATCTATTTTCCATAAACGCTATCTATCCTTTCCTAGACTAAGATTAATTGTGGTATCGCATCTCTCCTCATACTCCAAGGGAGGGAAACGAAAGAGGATTGCGCCGAGGCTATCCACTTACTATCGATCCGACGCAAATAGAATCCATTTGAACGTGTTCTATGTAAATATTGTATGGTACATCGATCTGATTCACCCATACTTAGTTCCCTCATCTGTTATTGATTTGGTATGGTCTAGATTTCGCAAACTAGACTGCTGAAATATTGGTAGTTTTAATGTAGTAAGAAAGACATAAGTAGTACGTTTTGTTTCCGAACTTATATTTTCTGATAAACCTTTTAAACTGGTGATATGCAACCTGCTTGCTGACTGTTAAACCTCTTTCATGAATAGAGGGGGGCCAGAGTCACGTAGAGGAATTAATATGTAATTAATGAAATTTAAAGGAAATATTCAAGTTTTGTGAGGAAAAAATCATCAAACATCATCATCAATGTCGTCTGGAGGAGTGGAGATGGAGTATCTCTTACTGACTAAAACCCCCTGTTTCTGTCTAGATATTTAATCTACAAAGCTTAAGAAAGACACTAGCGGTTTATTACATAGAGTTAATGTGTGTTTTTAAGAACTATATTTTAAATACTTACATTATGCGACCAATATGAGAAATCAAAATTGAAGCTTTTGGCGCCATCTTTGCTGCCAGGAGGAGCCTTGGGATTTGTGATCACTGTAACAATACAAAAAAAATTATCAGATATCTAGTGGAAAGTTTCTAAGCATAAAATATCATTAAGAAAAGAAATGATATTAAAAAAGTATTGTGTTACTGTAAAAGAAGGTCGATTATATACACAGTAAATATTGACGCTAATTACTTTCCAAATCGAAATAATGCGCGCACTAACGTAACATTGCTTTGGTAGAAAAATTGTCAATAGCTGCGTATATTTGCTACTTTTACTTTCAAGATAATTGTTAATTAATATAGGTTTCTTTAAAACGCCCACTACCATTGACAATAATATTTAATAAAATAAATTTGATTCTTTCCTGAATCTTATACTAATACGAATAAATAAACGTAGCTAGAAAGCAACATAATACAAGTATCATTATAATCATTACAGTCGAAAGACTCTAAGTAGACCCTTCACTACATCATACGTAGGGAAACAAGATCATTAATTGCACAAGGTTGCAAAACAACCTTACGATGTCCTTCAAGCCCTCATTACGTGACTGTAAAAAACTAGATGAGATACTCGCGTTATAGTATGAGTACATCGGGCGTCAGTGAGCTTTGCGAGAATATAAGTGGCCAAAGCGTCGCGACGTATCGACCGTCACCGACGCCGTGGCGCCTTTCTTGCAACTAGGAGTCGTACCAAGTCGCTTTGGAATCGTAAGTCCTCGAATTTATGGAGGTAAGTTGAATACTATATTTTTCATTTTGTCCGTTTGAATTTTCTTGTTCGGTTCTGTTTACGCAGTCTAGTTATTAGTGATAGATCAAAATGTGTTAAGAAAATAGTTGACTAACCACAGACAATCACTAGATTGTTATTATTTAAACAATAAATTATTTTTTGCAAATAAAACAGCTCTTTTACATGTCAAAATTATATATATATATATATATATATATATATATATATATATATATATATATATATATATAGACTGCCTACTCTGAGAACTAATGCCGAAACAGACTAAATATATCTCTATAATCTGTAAACCCTTGATATATTTAATCTATTCAGTTTGAAAATAAATACTAATCCTAGGCATTAAAACTTTATTCTAATATTTCAAAGTTTAACAATATTAGGAACGGATTCAACGCTAGCTAGAACGCTACTTAAACTTGTGATACCTTCTATCCATTTACTTAGTCTTAACTTAGGATCACTCAAGTTAGATCCGCTAACTCGTGAAGTTAAAGGGAAATGGCTAAGTTGATAACTTGATTAAGTTTCGATACTTAGCTTATCTAAATTAACGTGGCTTGTAGACAGAATAAATAATATAATTAGATAAATAGCCATTAAAGTAAATAAATAGCACACGACCCTTTAAAAAGCCATTAGACCACCACAGATGGGGCAAAATAGGGCTGATGTGCAGCCGGCGCCAAACGCAAATATACCGCGGCCCCGACCCAAAGCAGAAGAAACATGGTAGTTTTTAGTCAATAAGAGTCTGACACACCCTCCCCACCAACGGGAAAAATCATTTGATGAATTTTCACCTTCAAATATTACCTTATAACAATCAAAGCCATCGTGTAATTCATCATCAGCCTATAAGTGCCCACTGCTGAGCAAAGGCCTCTTCTCATAGAGAGAACGTTAGAGCATTAATCACCACGCTTGCTCAATGCGGGTTGGCGATTTCAAACTTATAATTAGAAATTATAAGTCTAGGCTTCCTTACGAAGTTTACCTTCATGGTATGTGAGTGGTGACAAATAATCATAGAATAATTATTGTCTAATTTATCCATCGTAATTCGAGACACAGATGACAATAGGTGCGAGAACGTCGGCGTTCGCTTGGGGTTTGATGAATTAATTATTACATTAAAGCTATAAGATCTCATTGTGGCTAAATAAATCAAGTAAGTACGTACTAAAATTTCCCCAATAACAAATAAGTGCAGCCTCAATACAGCATCCAGAGCCTCACAACAAAACCAACCCCTCAAAGCTTAATTTAATAAACTTCAATCGTAAAATCAAATAACATATAGTATGAGTCAGGCTCGCTGGAGCGTTGTCCTGCATCGGGGTTATGTGACTCAAACTGCAAGAGCAGCTTTATATGAGTCACCGCTGGCTGCAAGTGTCGTGTGCCAAAATACAGTTCCTAGTTAAATTAAAGCAGTAGCTTCATGTTTGTAGAATAGTTATAGCAATGAAGCTGGAAAATTTAAGATTGTGAACCTTCCTAGAGAAAAATGAGTAAACATTTTTATCCGGAGGTTGGCAAACGCATTTGAGTTGTTTTTTTTTGACGTTCAAAAGTGTATGTATGATTATACTTATTTAGAACAAATGATGAAATTCTGACCTTTAACTTTTGGGGGAGAATCATCAAATTAATTCTCTCACCCAGGTTTAGGCAACCCCATTCCTTCTCCATACGGTGGTTGGGAAAACTTTTTAATCTATTTATCTATTTGAGTAAATTGAGTAGGATGTCATTTATTAGTAGGTGTACGTAGAAACGTGTTCTCATATTATGGAAAAGTAAGACAATTAGTAGTGTAAAGGTTTTTTAGTAAGTATCTCATATACAAAAAGAACTTCACTTCAATAAAAAAGGCTATACGAAAATAAAATGAACATTTCTACAAAAAAAAATGGTTTGTCGCTTCCAGAAGCATAGCGTCAAAACATGTTTGTGTAAAAGTGCAATGAGGCAGACGCGTTTAGTAATAGCTTGTCTGTTCTGGCTTACATGATAACTATGAGTCATAGATGCAACGTTGCAGACGTAGTCCGCATGGAAAACTGTTTACATTTTAACGTTGGAGAAAGCAATTTTATAGAGAGCAAACACATCTATTCTCTTTGTCCGTAGAATCACTTTTATGAGAGCAAAAACAAGATTTTTATTCTTACTAAGATAATTGGAACTTCGTAGAATAAAGGAGTACTTTTTATTTCGCAAATATAAAACCAACAGACCATTTTTAAATCCCCTCAGTGTAAAATATTTATTTATTTACTCCCAACGTACATTATTTTTATTTATTGTACAACAAAAAGACAAGGCTCAAAAGACTACAACCCTAAACATCATAAAAAAGATGAAATTTTAAACTCTTGCATCAATATGACAATGACATTCTAAATTCAAAAAGCGCGCGCATACATCTTCGTTTTGTATGAGTCACAACTGCATTGTCACAATGAAATATGGCGGCCGGATACTGTTTGTTTTACTGTTTCTAGCTCCCGGGGGTAAGCAATCACACTGAGAGCAGTGTCGTTATTTATTTGTTACTATAACATGTAGCTTTACAGTTTATTCCTTTGTTTGAAACTGTTGGCAGGTTTCCGATCAAAGGTTATAGAATCAGGACTTTTATTGTGTGTAAAATCCATTTGGAAAATCCGCTGGGAATTTCTAAGGAAAACAAGAAAATTACATTGTCTTAGAAAAAAGGATACATAGTTCAAATTGGAATTGATTATATACCTAACCTATTAATATGCTTAGTAATTTACCTTTATTTTCGTTTTTGTTTAATGTAAAATCTATTTACGTAAAAGCTGTATCACTTGGTTATGCTATTAAGCCAGATTTCTCTTTATAACAACTAGAATAATGTTTGTGAAATGTGTGAGTTGTTTTCGCTTTTTGCTGCTTTCTGATCTAAAATTTTTGCAGAAGCTACATTTGAATCGAGCGTTCCAAATGTACAACTTACATTTACATTATCACCAAAATACACATACATATACGTAACTATTTTCATACAACACGAAGATAAATTTCAATAGAAAGAAAAACATAGTTGTGTATACAACCAACAAGGGCAAATCGGCCATGTTGTCGGAACAATCTTCCGGTATTGGAAGCCCGCATTGAACAACACAAGGTCGTGCAGACAAAGCATTCTCACTGTCAGCGAGACGGTTTGAATGTATAACTGTTTGAAGGACAATTATACATTCTAGCAAATTTTAGAATCAGTTGTTTTCTTTCTACATCTCAATTCTATATAAGTATCGTCGATAAGTCACAGTATAGTCAGAATAATACTCAGCGAAGGCTCGTTATTAACAAACAAATAGTGTTTGTTTTGTACTTCGTGCCATTTCTCGGCACAGATTTTGACTTCTCTCAGTTTTCTCGGTGTAAAATAATTTCTATTAACACTCTTTATACAATAGTTTACAAAAACTATTAAGATTTGTTTCTGTAAATTATCTACCACTGATTCTTAGATGGCTATCACAGTAAGCTGAAATTTATCATCAAATTTATCGTTAACAAAATACTTCGATAAATACAAGAAGTATTTATCAAAGCCTTGGCAAATCAAAAGAGAAACTTTCGAAGAAACTATAGAAACAGTTGAGGTGTAAACCAGCTCACCTATCTACAAGGAAGGCAATGAACTGAACAGAAAAACTTGGGTGTCATGAACTTCAAGTAACGGCCAACATAATTGGTTGTACCATTTTATTTTACGAGCTCTCCAACCAAACAATCGGCGTTTCATTGCGAACGCTACTATGAAAAATGCTTATAAAAGTGAATGGGGCATCAAAACCGTTCGTTGGGTCAAACTAACAAATGATTTACGAATTTCGTTGAACTTCGAACCTAGTTGACTTAAATACTTTTTGTCTGCTTACTTTTTAGGGTCAATGACCACGATGCTGATTTTTTAATTCAATCAATATCTTGCTGAGATTATGCTATTCAGATTTTTGCAAAACTATTTATACCTATAATATCAGCATGAAATTTACTCATTACTGAACTTTCTGTCACTTTGAACCCATCTCAATTTTTACTGTGAACCTTGTAATAAAGTTTCCATTTCACATTGTTAAAAACTTCTCCAATTTAGAAAACAAAAATACAGGAACGCTTTTGTTTTCCCCATCAAAAAAGATTCGCTTCGTAAATGATGGTTCGTTCTTGAGAATTTGTGATGAAACGTAATTAACGGTGACTAATTGCTTTGATGGCTCCAGAGCTTTCAGAG